ACAAAAAATCAATAAAAAGCTCTCATAAAAAGGCTACTTGCTTCTCGGATATTTAATGGCAGTGCATTCCATAACGTAGGAGCAGCACTCTCAAATGCACGATCACCAAGGGTGACCTTGTTTCGACTTGCTGATGGCATAAATATAAGGGAGCTAGACCATTAAGAATTTTACAAGTTATTAACAGAATTTTAAACTCAATCCTGAATCTCACCGGAAGCCAATGTAAATCAAAAAACAGTGGGGTGATATGACAGTACTTGTAACCGTTACAGACTAGTCTGGCGCAGGAATTTTGCACACGTTGAAGCTGTGATATTTGAACATCAGGCAATCCATAGAGGAGGCTATTGCAATAATCCAACCGACTAGAAATAAAAGGGTGAATTAACGTTTCAGTACATTCCCTGGTCAGATACTTTCTGATACGTCTAATATTATGTAAATAATAAAAAGCCGTATCACACGTTTTTGTGATATGAGTAGACATTGTCAAGTTTGCATCGAACCAGGCACCCAGACTCGTCATAACGGAGACAGGGGAAAGTCTGGACTCCCCAACATTGATGCTGTCAATATTAACCTTAGCCAATTGTTGACGAGTACCCATGATAATAAATATAGTTTTATTATCGTTTAACATCAACCCATTACTGAACATCCATTTACGCACAACATGTATACAACCCTCCATTGCAGAAAGAGCAAACGCCTGGCTCGATGCATCATCCGGGCAAAAGGAAAGATAAAGTTGCGTATCGTCAGCATAACAATGCACATCTGGAAGTTGAGTCTCAATAATTTCGAACAAACTACTGGTATATAAAATAAACAACAAAGGACCTAAACAGGATCCTTGGGGTACACCCCACTCAAGGTCAAATTTCTGAGAAAGTTTCCCATGAACAGAGACCCGTTGAGATCTTTCAGACAAATAAGATTTAAACCAGAGGAGAACAGTCCCATCAATACCAAACTTGGACTGGAGCCTGTTCAACAAAACCGTATGATCTAAAGTATCGAAAGCAGAACTTAAATCAAGTAAGACTAATAAAGAAACAAGTTGTTTGTCCATAGCCATTAGTAAATCATTTTTTAACTTTCAATAAAACTTTCGTCTCAGTACTATGGTGACTACGGTAGGCCGACTGAGTAGTTGGATATAAACCGTTCAATGTTAAATGAGATTGTAGTTGGAATGCAACTGCCTTTTCCACCAACTTAGATATGAATTGAAGATTACTAACAGGCCTAAAATTTTCCATATTTAAGTCTAGACTAGGCTTTTTAAGCAATGGTAAAACCACTGCTGATTTCCAGGCTGCTGGGAAATGACCAGTACATAAAGAGGAATTGATCATTCTGGTTATAACAGGCAATAACAGATCTAAAGAACTCATAAGTAACTTCATTGGAATAGGGTCAAGGATACAACACTTCTTACTAGAACCTAAAATGAGCGTACGAACACCATCTTCAGAAAGTTGAACAAACTTCAGTTCGGCCATTGGTTTTGGGCTTCTCATAAAGACCCTTCTTCAATATTCAGTGAGGCGTGACCCACCTAGAATGTTGATGGGTGTTTCTGGATATTTGTGTTTTTCATTTATTTATAAGATTATCACTCTGCTGTAACTTTGCGAGAGTCAATCGTTTACTGCACACACTATATTAAAAGAGTGAACATCACCTGTACATACAATCACAAGAAAAAAATACTGCCCATCATAATGATTATCATGATGACTTAATTAAGAGACAGGCGTAGACACAAAAAATAACAGAATAATGATGGAATTATTCAAATCAATTAAGACAATGGTTAGTGGACTACAGTATCATTCAGAACAACTTACTGTGAAAGAAAGATGACAATACCTCCTCCAATAAACCATATCACATCTAAATTGAACCCTAGCTCAGAGTTTGAAATAGCCTTGGTTTAGGGTTTCGACGATAGTGTTCGATGATCGATGGTCGGCCGCTAACATAAACAGCAGCCGCCTGCTATGAACTCACACGTACTGTAGTGCAAACAGCGACCTCAGATGGCAAGCCTATAAGTTACAATATGCGAAGTAGTTGGTGATGACCGAAGGCGTTGGAACAACCGTCGCGATGGCTTATCTTTTCCGGACAATTGTCCTTACTCTGTCGCTGGATATGATTCGAGTCTGGGGACTCCAAACTTGTTGGAGAATGTTGCCACACTATCCAGCTCTCTATCCATGTAAAGGATGAGCCTCCATTACCAAATACTGAATAACAATCTCTCCTTTATTCGCATACGGGGTCGTCGTTGGAAATCCGGCTGCAAAATAAAGAAAAACATAAGCCGAGGCGAACAATTGTTTCAAGGCGTTCGTCCATCACCAATTAGCATATTGTAGCCTAGCTGCGTGAGATCGCTGTTCGCGCTTCGTACAGACTACAGTACATTTGGACTCTAAGAAACCAAACCAGGAAAAGAGGGAGACAAAACATAAGATGAAGGGATGAACTAACAACACATAGTGGCATTACATGGCAACAGACAGCTCAAGATAGAGTGAGATAGAAAATTTGTGAAGAGGCTCTCCTCCTGCAGTGGTGCGAAATAGGCTAGACAGAACAGTACGTGTGGGTGCAGAGCGCGCGACGCTTAGTTGTTTTAGCGGCCGACCATCGATCATCGTCGAAAACCTTGACCAAGGCTAAGTTGAAATATATTGACTTGAAATGAAAAAGAAAAAAAACGTGAGATAGAAATTCTGTGCGCTTCAATTACTTTAATTTATTGCACCCGTTGGAAAAGAACAGTAGAAATTGGGACAGAGCTGGTGAAAATGTAGTCTTGAATGCCTGTGAACGAAATAGAATGCCCAAACCGGATCTGAATGGCAAGACTAAAACCATGTGTGCCCGCAAACGAAATTGAATGCGATATGAGGGAAAGTAAAGCCAGTGTGAACAAAGTTATAAAAAAAAAAGGCCGAACGAATCTTAAAGTTTGTTGATCAAAGTGAATGTTTTTTTGGGGAAATCGGTAGGGAAAATCTATACTGATGAGACTTCATTGCAGGTGGGCGACTGACAGGTGCTGTAGTGCGGGCTGGTTTGAATTCAGATCTCTCCCAGAACAGACGGATAGGAGCAGTCACAAGTTCTCAGGCAACTAATGGAGCAACGATTCCTTTCACATCGAACCAAGCCATCTCTGCTCGATACGTCAGTGTGGAACTGTCGAGGGAATGCCTTCAACTGGCTGAAGTCAGGATCGGCACAGAAAACGTGATTACAAGCGGTAAGCAAAACCTTTCAATGACGACTCAATAATCTTCACATTCCGAATCATGATGGCAGATGACACAACATTTGCATCTCTGCCATGCTGGTGATATAACAAACAGTTCACTGACAAACCAAGTCTTACGGTCACAAAAAGAAATATTTTATTCCGTTTGAAAAATGGTTGATAGCAGGTGAGTTCAATATGCAGATTGGCAGTCATATAAAGGATTTTATTTTGTCGCGTTGCCATCGAGATTTTAATTGGTAGCTAATGCAGAATATTTTGATATCTTCCCCACGAATAGATTCATTAAAGATGGTTCAGCCGCCTAAAATATGCGACGAATTAAATAGGCGTGCCTATCCGATTCGTTAGTGACTTCGTCATACACGCGCGCGCACCACTGATTACAAGCGTCCATTTGCTAAGTGCTCAAGTTGCGTTAACCTCCGGTATTGATATCCAGATGAAGAAATTACAATGCTCGCAAAGCTTATAAAAAGGGAAGAACACTGAATACAAAATAAATTAATAGTTAAAATTTATATATACCAGATAAAAACATTGCACGTGAAGGAGAAGCCTGTACCTGTCACCCACTGTCTAGTCATCCAAAACAAATTCATCTTTCAAAAATGGCATTGAAGAATTTAATTCCCATTGGGACAAAAGAGTGAAGATGGTGATTGGTGCGAGCAGCCGGCAGTATCATTCTTCCCCTTCTAGGAATAATATGACCTGCAAGCTCAGCGCACAGTGGGTGGCTTTCGTCGTCCAAAATACGACCAAACATACCAATCACTCCCTCCCGGGACAGAGAGTCCACCGACTGCAAGCACAACCCCGATATCCTCTCAACTTTCCTCACTAGCCGATCAATCATACCTTTATCCTTTTTCAAGGCATTCCCACCCCATCCCGTCAAACAATAACTCCATACCCCACATATCACTGCTGAACAATAGAATGTGACAAGAATTCCCGTTTTGACCTTAAAAAACATTCATTTTAAGGAGACAATACATGCGCGAGTTAAGCTTTTTCATTACGTAATCCAAGTGATCATTCCAATCAAGTTTAACATCGAACATTATGCCAAGATATTTATATGTATGAACCCTTTCAACACAGCTGTTATTGATCACAATATTACTAGGCTCACTCTTTTTTTTTACGAAAGTCAATGACAAGCTGTTTAATCTTAGCAACATTAAGCATTTTCCTCATTAGCATTAGTATGCCCATCATCATCATGTTTAATTAGTCCAAGCAATGCAGTATCATCAGCAAATTTAATCACTTGACAGTCAACGTGACAAGATCGAAACCCAGATGTATATACCGTGAAAAGAAATGGAGCTAACACTGTACCTTGAGGAGCGCCTGTGTTGGTGATAATGCGTCCGGACTTAACTTTTCATTTAACTTTACAAACTGACTGCGATTCGAAAGAAAATCAAGGATAAGCCTAACCAGCTGATGGGGAACGTCCATGTTCAACAACTTTTGGATGAGTAAAAACGTAACTTGTTTGGCCTTTGTAAATGCAAACAACTGTGGGCTATAATAGTTTGATAGTCAGCTACCTAATATCCATGTTTAACTCTTCTTTCCATAGTAACGCGTACAAATATCGATGCTACTAGTATGACAGTCAGCTGGTCTACATTGCCCTGTGCTGATTATTACTACATGGAGTATGCCTTGACCAACAGGGATAACTGTGAAAACATCAATCCACCGATGTATAGCAGTCCCTGCAATATGTGTCAGAGAAACACGGCTACTCTATATGGTCTGACACCATTCTCTCAGTACACTATACAAGTCAAGGCTTATGTATATGGTGCATACGGACCAATAAAAACAGTCATCTACACAACCACATCATCAGGTATGGTACACTAGACGTTGCTCCAGTCCATTTCCCTATTTACTTTTTAATGTTACTTAAATGAATTGAATCCAATTTGCGGCATTGTAGAAATTGTTCCACCTCCTTGTTTACCAAAATGCAATATTCTACCTTCTGGAAATTTACTTTATATTGCAGCACCGACTGGACCTCCCACTTCTGTGACACCTGGGTCTGAAGCCAAACGCAGCCTAGCCTTCTCCTGGAGCCTTCCATTGTGTGGAAGCCGAGGCGGTGTCATCACAGGATACGACTGGAGGCTTAGTACAAGTGGAGCTGCACCAATGACTGGTCAGACTACAACTGGTCTGTCTGGTGGAGCAGTTACAATAGATGTACTTACTCCCTTTACTTATTACAGTTTTCAAGTTGCTGCAAGGACTAATGATGGGACTGGACCGTACAGTGCGGCTGTTACATCAAGAACACAAGAAGCAGGTAATCTATGTTTTCTGTTGTTCTTCCTCAAACTCATTTCCCTATCTCCATCTTCTCCTTCGTATTTCGGTTTGATTCTAATTTGGGTGCGATTGTCTGTGGATTCCTTACCAAAAAAACCCTTAATCCAAAATGGCAAAAACGCTGGTAATAGGGGCATTTTATTTAAATCACAGCAATTTAATTCCAATACGCACTTATTATTGGTTAATTGTTTCTTAGTTCACGGTACCGATACTATAAATCAGTTGCAAGAACAAATACAATGTTTGTTTCTGTGTTTAATTTCAACAGCGCCCACAAGACCTCTTAATGTTCACATCCAGTCGACAGATGACATGTCTGTCAGTCTGAGTTGGAATCAACCAGATCCAGCGAATGGATACATCACACACTACAATGTTCGCTACTGGAGGAATGGAGACATGCGAACCATGCTGACTGACTCCAATGTGATGGGACTGATGCATCGTGTCACGGGCCTTGAAGCTGGTGTAACATACCTATTTCAGGTCTTTATTCATTTTTATCAAATGGAATAAACTATCATCATTATACATCATGATTCTCCTGGTCGAAACTAACATATGTCCCAAATTATACTACAATGGACAATTTCATTGATTATCCCAGTTATTGCTTGGTATAATCGACACATTGAAATTCACATGAACTTTATTTTACAATGACTTTATTTTTCAAGATTTATGAAGCATAACTTTTATTTGTGCGTGAAGAGCCCAGGTCATTTTAATCATTTTTGCATTAAAGTAACATCCATAGTTTTGACAAACAAATTTCAGGTGCAAGCTGAGACGCATCCTGGTGCTGGCCCTTGGAGTGGCTCTATCTCTGCGACAACAATGGAAACTGGTGAACGAACTTTTTTGTTTCCCTTGTGCACATGATTTTCGCCAATTCTTCTCTGACCAAAACTAATTTGTAACTCTAATTGATTCCTACCTTGAATTCAGTGACTTTAGAATGAACTCTCATAAACCTGACATTATTTTGGTGTTTAATTTCCACAGCGCCCACAGTTCCCCTTAATGTTCTCGGCCAGCCGACGGATTACATGTCTGTCAGTCTTGGTTGGAGTGAACCAGATCCACCGAATGGACGCATCACACACTACAATGTTCGCTACTGGAGGAGTGGAGACATGGGAACCATGCAGACTGACTCTGATTTGATGGGGATGATGCATCGTGTCACGGGCCTTGCTGCCTTTGTAACATACAAATTCCAGGTCTCTATTCATTTTATCAGATGGAATAAACTACCACCATTATACATGTACATCATGATTCTCAACAAACCTAGCATATTTTCCACACTGAACGGTTTCATTGATAATTTCAATTATTTCATGGTAGACGAACTGCCTGATTGACATAATCGATACATTAGAATTCACAGGAACTAAACCTCAATCGTGCTTGAGGAGCACAGGCCGTTTAATCATTGTCGTTTGTGGGATTTAAATAACAATAGACTACCAGCAAAAAGCATGGTATGTTTTTTTCAGGTGCAAGCTGAGACGTCCCCCGGTGCTGGTCCTTGGAGCGAACCTATCGAAGCAACAACACTGCAAGCTGGTAAACTTACTTTGTTTTGTGTGTGTGCTTTGTTTCCCATGTGCAGATCTTCTCAAATTCTTCTCCGACCAAAACTATTTCCATAACTCAGTTTGACTCCTACCTCCATCAGCACTCCTCTTCACGCTATTAAATTGTGTAACTACTTTAGAATTAATGCGCAAGAAATGCCATTTTATATTGACGTGTATTTCAACAGCACCAACAGTTCCCATAGATGTTCGTATCCAGTCAGTGGATAACGATTCTTTCAGTCTGAGCTGGAGTGAACCAGATCCACCGAATGGACTTATCTTGCACTACAATGTTCGCTACTGGAGGAGTGGAGACATGGGAACCATGCAGACTGACTCCGATGTGATGGGGATGATGTATCGTGTCACGGGCCTTGAAGTCGGTTCAACATACCAATTTCAGGTCTTTATAAGTATTCACTTTGTTTTTATTCAGACTAAGCTATCATCAATATACATGATGATTCTCCTGGAGGGAACTAATGTCTTTCCCACATTTTCATTGATATTCATTATTTAACGACATATTGACACAATCAATAATTGGAATGCACGTGAACTACACTTAACGTTCGCGATCTATTTCGAAGCGAACAAAAAATAACTTATGCTCTTCCAGAATTTAAGTAATTTGACACAATTTGTCTGATGTTTTGAACCTTCAATAAAATTGTAGGGTTTAAACAAAATTTATGCAGGTGCAAGCTGTGACATATCCTGGTCCCAGCCCTTGGAGTGCCTCCATCGAAGCAACGACAGCAACCGGAGGTAGACAATCGTACATAACCTTTTCCATAGTATTCACAACAAACCGTTTCATGCATGGTATTCAGAAAAATATGTTTTCTTCACATTAAAGATGTCATTCTATCATTTTTCATTTTTTTTTTTCAGCTCCTGGACCTGTTGGGAATCTTAACTTTACAGAGAGGACAGAGACATCAATCAATTTGGTGTGGGACCCGCCACTACAACCTGGAGGAGTTCTTATTGGCTATAAAGTACGTGCTTATGTCAATGTTACCTTTCGAAACTATCAAACAATTGGCTTAACACGTGTCTTCTTATCATCGGATTGTAATATAAACTTTCAGAGAAAAGGAAAACAGAGTTCTGGGATTGACAAACAAGTTCCTGATGTATTTTGTCTCAGGATGTGGGTATTTTTTTATCATAATGTCGACATCCGGAAGTAGCATTAAAATGTTTTCCCCTTCGATAAAACTGCATCTCAAGAGATTTCTTTATAAGGGAAAAAAGCTCTTAACTCATATTCTGATATATCTTTTTTGCAGGTAGAGCATCGTATCTTACAGAGGCCTTATCAATCCGATTTCACAGCAATAGACACATACGAAAGCGATGAAACTCGGGAACCTCCTTTCCTGAAAACTAATCTGGAACCAGGCACTCAATACGGGTTCAGGGTTTTTGCGAAGAATGAAATGTTCACCGGCGGTTACGACCGAGTGTTAGAGGTTTACACTAGGCCTAAGTCAGGTAAAGGATTGTTTTGCTTAATGATAAGTATTACTGATTCGCGTTTTTTGTATGAAATGACAGGTTAAAGAATATTTCAACATAAGAAAGACAAAACATAATAAGCCAATGTTTGGTATGAGGAAAACATTGAATGTCCAGTGTTCTTTTTTCCTATTTCGCTGGCCTTTTGTAGAATTGGGTAGATAATGTCCACACAGTAGATTCATATAGTTATTTTTGCCGTTACAGATCCACCTGCACCAAAACAACCCAAAACATACGAAGAGGAAGCGACGAATTCTACGGTAACAATTGGCCTGACGAACCTTGTATCTGACAACAAGTATGTCAGGTAAGCATGAAATGATATGAAATGATGGAATCTATGATAAAAGACTGATTAAAATATTTATAGGCAAGGATTTGAGACTAACCCCGGTACCTCATACGTTATGTCATTGAAGTGATGTAATGGGACTGAAATGAAGGTTGTTGCTGCATAGACCAATCCGGGCACGCTATCATTTTCTATCACGGACGGAGGCTCCCTTCAATGGCGAAAAGCAGTGTGCTAGCTATTGTTCAGATAATACATCACAAGGCAGTTGCTTTGAAGAGACTGCACAATGGTTTCTCCATAGAAGGGGTCTCCGTGAGTGTCTCGTGATCACGTGCAAAAATTCACGATATTTTCGTGCAAGTCAGTTCATAAACATGCACTTAAACATTGTTATATTTTGTAATATTCCTTTGATATAAGCGAGTATAGTATGGTATAAGTGCATATCAAAAGGCCTACTTGAGCTTCATAATTATTACAAACAATCTGAGAGTGATTGTGAACGCAATCGTTTTATCCTGCTGATGGAAAAACAATAACTCGCCATTTTTCAACAATCAACATATAGCATTATGTGTTTGTCAGGCCATACGTAATAGGTCACTTTTTGCCACAGTTCATACGTCGTGCATGTCAACAAAACCTCCGCTTCCCGCAAGTCCAAGAGGGCAGCTCTCACTCCAAAACGTTACGCCGACTCCGCCGATGACTACATAGCAGCCGAAATCCCCAAGCAAAACCTGGCAGAGAAATTTGTCGTTGGAGACAATGAAACCTACGAATCGTACAGGAATGCACCGCTGCAAACAGGTGCTGATTATGAAATTCGTGTGGGGTCTGTGAGCAAGGGCAATGATGAGGTAAGCGTTGAACAATTTTGTTTTCTTGAACCATTTGGTTTACTGTTAATGAATAAAGGGCCGAATCTACGAGCGAGTGCTTTCTCATTAGTGTACTGAAATGCGCGTCTTGAAAAGATTTTACTTTTTAACTGTAAGCAAACTGAAGGAGCAATTTCTTTCAGTCTAGGTAAATAAACTCTTATATGAAAATATTGTCTTTGACATGTAGGAGATCTTCGTGACGTATTCAGTGCCGATAAGAGTTACAGGTAATTGTTTTTATATTAAATCTTCCAATTAATTTAGACAAATCCAGTTTTGTAGCCTCTGTTGCCTATATAGACACATACAAAAAAACTCTATTACGAATTTTTGCCGATAAATTTTTAAAATCTCCCACACAAAATATTATATTCCTAGAAAATAAAACTGTATTTAGCATTATATGAGTCTGTTTTCAGCATTATATGAGTTGTGTATCCCTTCAAATTTGACATAAAAGTATTGCATTTGAATATTATATATATAAGTTTAATTATACAGCATCTGGACACACGTTATTTTGAACAGCGTGATTGTTTAGATTAACGGAGCAAAAGCCATGCATGCTTTAAAAAATGCTTACACACACCTGGCATCAAACTTCTTTTATTTCAACTTTTTTTCACAGTGGAGCAGTACCAGGCATCACCGACACAGGATCCATCATCCACGGCAGTCGTTCCAGCTGTTGTCGCGGTCATTGTCGTTGTCGCTTTGGTGCTTCTCATCATAGTCGTGGTTTATAGACGGTAAAGAATACGTGACGATTACCCGTCCCGGTGTTTGTCACGCACAAAACCTAGTATTCACCAAATTTGACAATTATCACTAACGGAATGCAGATATACAGTTAAACTATCCATCCGTTGGAATGCATACTTTTCGAGAGACAAATGATAGTTCCTTTCTATCTGGAAAAAATCCCGGATTTTTAGTTTAAAAATCATGAACATTTTTGCTTGAGAAAACGTAGAAACCGCGCCTACCCCACCTCTTTGCAAACAAAATTATAGACATGTAAACAAAAAACTTTATACACAATTATAAGACGTCGACCACTATCAACAAAGATTTTTACAATAAAAAAGTTTGCATTGTTTTTTCCTTAGAAAACACTCACTGAGAATGATTCTGATTTATTTCAGGAGGCGATCTGCACGCGCGAAAAAGCAATCGGACACCGATGGACAGCTGCAGTCTATCAATGACTACGAAGGTAAGGAATTTCGCTTTTTGGACAAGTTCTCATTTCCTACAGGGAATAAGACCAAGTTACGTTTATGTTTGATATTTAATATCAGCTGTAGTGCCCCCTGAAGAGCCTAAGCCATCGACCACCAACACTTACATGAACCAAGGTGCAGCGGCTGGGACATGTGACTCGCCATCCCTGAAAAAGCCCAAGCTTCTACCCAAGCCTCGACAGCAACAGAGCGACCCGCCCATAGACGGGCCCCAAGACCCTCTGGTTTCTTCCTCCAACAACATCAGCCTTCAGACAGCAGCAGTGGGTGGGACATGCGACTCACCATCCATGCGAAAGCCTAAGCCCCCGCCCAAGCCACAACTACAAGATACCAAACCGCCCCAACCGGCTATACCCCCGGACGAACCTGGGGTGGCATTCACTCCGCTTCCTCCTGTACGCTTGGAAGACTTGGAGAGCTACATTAACATGAAGGAATCGGCAGGTGACAAAGGGTTCGAGGCTGACTACAAGGTAAACAGATCTAATGGAACAAAGTTTAGTCACATGTGTTTCACCGAACTTGCCATTTTTGTACACGCGATCGATACAACTTACGTAGTTGTCATCAAATCATGGAGATGCCGTTGTTAAGACATTTAATATTAGGTTTTGCCCTTCACCGACGTATGGTTAAGATGAGTGAAAATCTGTAGACATATATCGAGTATAATGTTCTACAAACATCTGCCTTCTACAAAACATGTCCTTTCAAGGCCACCGTAGGAAACAACATGAACGGTATTGGCTTTTGAGTTCTGCAGCCTCCTTTGAGATGTTTTCGTTCGTAATATTAAATGCAAAAGAGGTCTTTCATTCAGAACCAAAGCATACACCGCATATATGGCCCAGGTTCACATGATTGATTTCATAAACTGCTGAATTTCAAGTGGAGACAGATGAAGACAAATACTGAAACGACTACCTTAAATACAAATAACAACCACATGGATGTGTGCAGTACAATATCAATAATTAACACTATCAGAAATCAGTGTTAATAAATACTAACCATTTTGAGATGAATTCTGTCCAGACTCTTCCGAATGAACAGCTACACCCGTGGACAGTTGCCTCGAAACCAGAAAACCGAAAGAAGAATCGCTATGTGAACGTGATAGCTTGTAAGTACATGTATATTGGCATTCCCCGAACACATTCTAAACTTTCCTTAAAAGGTTAAAACATTTATCTGTTAGCCAAAACATTACGTTACGATTACGGAGTCTACAACTTATTTTCCGTAATCCTAGCTTTGTCTTTAACATACAGTCATCCTTGATAAAATCACTTCATGTGGATGAGTTTCTTGTTAACAACAAACTCGTCACTTTGTATCCTGTAGATGACCACTCCCGTGTTGTTCTCCAGCCATTGGAGGGTGATCCTCACTCGGATTACATCAATGCTTGCTACATCGATGTAAGTTGATTTAAAGTGCACCTCCAAAGTTTGCTTACTGAATTATTGTTATTTTGAGAAATAGCTAACTATGTTGATATTGTTTACTCCAAAGGGATACCACCAGGAAAACAAGTACATAGCTAGTCAAGGTGAGTACAGTCAGGTTTATCCTTCTAATAACAACACTGGGTATTTCATTTTACCGAATTAAAGGCACATTTTTCCCAATCAGTGAATGAAAAGTCCTTTTTTACATCGAAAACCCAGTTCAATGAATGACAAGCTTTGACAATTGAACTATGTGTTTCAATATTTGCAGGACCCAATCAGGAATCTATCAAAGACATCTGGAGAATGGTTTGGCAGTTGGGCATCGATAAGATTGTCATGCTCACCAATCCGGTGGAAAACGGCAAAGTAATGAGTGTCTTTGAGTGTAATAATAATAATATTGGGTATTTATAAAGCGCACGTATCCACCAGGACTGGTGCTGAAGGCGCTACATCATTATTACCCTCTTCTCATTGGGCCCATGAGACATTCCAAATACCATCTCAGCCCCCTGGGGTGTATACAGCTCGATGCTGCCTGTTATGCGCAAGGAAGCTAATTCAACCACAATAACCATCTCTGCCATCACCCATTTACTCCTGGGTGGAGAGAAGCAATGAGTGACAAAGTGTCTTGCCCAAGGGCGCACCAACACAACCCCTGGTTGGACTTGAACCCATAACCTACAGCTTTACCCGTTGATAAATCACACTGGTGTTAAACCCCAAAAAATACCACGCCTAGACCACAGGTGTCCCTGTGTATATAGACGAAGTTTATTAGTATTATACTCTACTGAACTTTCTTGCCGTATATATAACCAACTAATCTATATAGAAGTATTCAAAGAAATGCCTTTCTCGTTCTGCCATTAGCGGAAGTGCCTGCAATATTGGGCTGATACCGGACCTACCACGATCTCGGGCATCGTCGTGAATACAGACAAAGAAGAGGTCTTCCTGGATTATACCATTCGTGATTTCCGCATACGCGAGGTAAAACACGCTGTTTAAACTATTTCATAATCGTCACAAAATTACTGACTGACTGGATCAAAATCGACCAGACCTGGCCTTATAGCGTATTAGTTTAGATGTATGAAGAAAGGTGGGATGTATCGACACAACCCGTTATGGACAAGCATCCCGGACACTCGATCTGCAAATTCTGATATTTTGGCACAGAGATCAAAATGTATCCTATCATGTTTGTCTCAGGTCGGCAGGAAGGATACGAGACTGGTGAAGCAATTCCACTACACCACCTGGCCCGATATGAAGCCGCCTGAGTACCCAGCACCATTGCTCAACTTCATGCGCGTAGTCAACGCTCACCAGAATCCCGGTCAAACTGTCATACATTGCAGGTATGCCCCCCTCCAGTTGTTACAGTTACAAAGTACCAAACAAAATATAAGGACAAGCAATCAACATTGTTCATGTAGCACTTACAAAGGAGACCTGAGAGACCAATACTGATAATATTATTGTTAGATTCATCACAAGAGACAGTCTCGACCAAACGCCACACATTTTGTTTAAATCGAACCCTCTTGGCAAACCCCATGCAAAAGAAAGGTAGGTAGTTACAAGGTATCGACTGTTAAAAGGTAGCAACTGCTTATATACGTATTTCGAGTGGTTTAATTACGTAGTTTGATGGTTTAATTTAAACGTTTTGATCTTTGTACAGTGCTGGAGTAGGACGCACTGGTACATACATTGCCCTGGAAGCAATGATGGAACAAATGGCCCAGGAACGACAAGTTGATGTCCTGGGCTTCATCTACCAAATGAGACAGAATCGCATCAAGATGGTCCAGACACCAGTAAGTCCAATTTCACATCAGTTGGCCTGATTTTAAAGCTACGTAACTTTACTGAACTACTAACCAAACAGAGTAACTCTTCCAAAAGGATCATTATGAAGATTGTGACATATAGAATAAAAGAGATTTAAAGTATAATCACCTTCGTGACAAGAGATTTGATGGTCAGAAAACTGTCTTTGATAAAACTGTTGATTGAGTAAGAATCAAAGACGTTTGTGGTAAAATGTTGTCCTCAATCTCCTGAGAATAGTCCATTTTCATTGTATTCTTGTCTGCTTGTGTTATATTTTTATGATATACTTTTACCCAAAAATGGTATCTCTAGGAGCAATACAAATTCATCTTTGATGCTCTGCTGGCATCATCTCAGACTGGTGACACGACCTACCATGACAATAACTTTCAACAAAAGTTGTCTGCACTGAAAAAGCCCGAGAAGGGTTCCAAGAGTACTGGGATGACTAGACAGTTTGAGGTAGGCTAATAAAATGCAGTTTACACCTACCTATCACTATACAAATGTGAAGTTGATTCCAAAGTATTATGTACATCAAACGGCGTTATCAAATTGATGAAAGTATCAACGACATGAAGGGTGCATGCACTTGAGTATGATTTGGTCATTGTAGATTCAGTGAATTCAAATGTACAAAAATATTTAAGGGGAAAGTGCACTTACCCCTGGGCTTGCGTTTGTTTTTCTAGATGTTAGGCAAATGGAGTGTTCCTCACGGAAGCAGGAAACCCAAGTCCGGACTTCGTCCTGAGAGCATCGCCAAGAATCGGTTCAAGGACTTCATTCCCAGTAGGTTATCCCCGCCATTGATTAACGCTATGTTTCTCTAATTGATGCAGTTTGCTGTCTAAAGAAATAATGCATTAAGGAAACATTAATCAGAAAATGTATTAAAATCAACAGCAAACCTTATTGAATCTGATTTGTTACTTTGATTTTTGTCTTGAGAATGATGAAACATGGGCAGACGAGAAATTTTAAATTCGAAGAGGTGTGAAAATGAGACACGTTTCTGCATAAAACAGCTCTCTCGCAGGTATAAATGTATAAAAGGTATACATCGTTTAGTGTAATTAAATTGGAATATTAATTTCTGTCGTCACTTTTGATTGATATTAACCTCAAAAAGAAGTTATTTAGACTGACTTAGCAATAATTGATATTTCACTTGATCACACTGCAGCTGATCGAGCCAGACCGTATTTGATGACACAAGTACATGAAGGCGACAACGATTACATCAATGCAAACTATCTGCCCGTAAGTACCAAGTATCAGTACGCGTCATACAGGATCTTATTGTGATAGCTGCGCGAAAGCGATTAGAAACCATTTGAATATAGACACCATAAGAAATGGTAGGCGCACGGGATACGTATGCCGCCTATTAATCACCATTTTGTGTAATCCCACATACATGTATACACCTGTTAATGGTACCTCAAGCAGACATGTTGTCGTCATAAATTATGCCTTAATAGGGAGACACCGGACATAAGGGAGACATTTCAATGTCTCCCTAATGTTGCAAACAGGCTAAATCGATTGCTTGTGGTCCAAAACATAAATTTACCGAAATGTGTGGGGGTAGGATAAAAAATAAGGTAAAAATTGGGGTAACGTAAGGGGTCATTAAAGTTGGAAAATGTTGTGCGAAAGGCTATGGGAATGTCTCCCAAATGACCCATTATCGGTAACATCTTAACTTCTTGATGTGTATTATAACTGCCCATAATGTGCCAGATGAAATAACCACGCAGAATTGTGCCATTATGTGTCGGTTTTTAATCAGAGCTACCGCAAGAAGAATGGATACATTGGTACGCAGATGCCCATGCCGAGCACCGTTGTCGATTTCTGGCGCATGGTGTACGACCACAAGGTGACCAGCATTGTGATGCTGAACGCCCTGGATCCAAAGGACAAAGTGAGTCTACATTCCCATTTTTTAAATAGACCTCATGCTTTAAGGCGGAGTTGAAGGACAGTGTATTTGTTTTTGCAGGATAGGTATGAGTAATCCTTTTTGTACATTCATTGTGAACAAAATTAAAATACCAAAGAATCCCTTAACGCATACGGTGTACTCTTGTTCCGAGCCACATTCCTAGCCAGATTATATGAACTTGGTAATAGAGTGCCCGATAATGTCTACACATGGAACAAATTTTGTCATATCAGAAATTTTCTGAATACAGTGTCCTGGGTGTACATGTTTCAGTGCTTTTTCCATTGTACTAATGATTTACATGGGTATATAACTTTGTTTTGAATGGGATTCGGATTTATGTTTTCCGCGTAAAATTCTTTTGTTAGTGCCATGTACTGCTCACAACTCCTGTTGGGTTGTAATGCACTAAATAGAATGACCAGTCCTCCGTCAATTTAATTAAGTGTAACTTAACTTATTTTACAATTTGAACGTGTAGAACAAGAACAATGTAACTAATTTTCTCGCTTAAAGATAGTTTAATAAATGGGCTTCCAAGTCATAACTCATGTTGGTGCTACATATTGTTCAAAATATGAAATATATTTCTTTGTGTTTGGGTTCCGCTTAATTTTACTCACCCTGTATATGGTTTTATGATGTTTTTTATTTATCTCTGTCATTTGAAAAAGAAATGCTGTCTGAAGCTTAGCAAGTCATCATGCCTCCGTGAATAAACGACGATGATGACATGCATGAAATATCAAACTAATCAAAGAAACTAGGTGTAGAAGCTACTGTGTATGATGTTCATTATTTCATGTGGATTTGTTTTTTCCCAACAGACAATGGCTCGCTACTGGCCCGAGTCCGGACACATTGAATTCGGCCCTCTTGTCATTGAGCTGAATGAAACAGAAGAGTTCAAAGGAGTGTCTAGACGAACCTTTACTCTGCGTAACGAACAGGTTGACTTTGAGGTAAAGCTGCACAGTCAAAATAACAAGACTCATTGATTGCCTTTTGATATTTTCACGTGTGATACCTTCCCATTATTTAAAGTTGCACTCTTTTTCCAAATGTGTAATACCTTGTTGTATAGCTATAGATCCAATGTTCAACTTTCTATCTGTGTGATTAGATGTCAAATTCCTCATTTTACCTTTAGAGATCCACGTTTTAATCATTCCAGCACGTTGTCAGTGTAGATTTACTGCAAGTGTCCAGTGAGGTAGTATCTTAGTAACAGCTAGCACAATGCATTCACCATTGAAGGGGGCCACCTTAAATGCTGACTGTAGCATTTTCCGATTGGCCTTCACTTAACTACTTCCAGAAAAGGCCCGGTGTAAATGACGAAGCAAAGACTACGCTGACCGTACATTAAGGATGAGATAGTTGGATTCGGTTTTTAAGAGAGTTTTGATGGGGCTTTTTTTATAGACCGAAGATACGCGAAGGGTGACTCAGTTCCAGTATCACGACTGGCCATCTGACAAGGAGGTGCCAAGCTCCTTGGATGGAATGCTTTACCTACTGAGGGTTACTCAAGACAGCCGCCAAGATAAGGGACTTACCGTGGTCCATTGCAAGTAAGAATATAAGAAGGCAAATGATTTAGATGAAACGTGAAAGAGATTAGTTCATATTGTTGACAAAAAAATTGTTTGAGTTTATACTCAAAATGTTTTTCAAGAAAAGGCAGTGGCTTACTTCTAGTGATTATTAATGAAAACTAAATTCAAGGCTCAATTATCTGCAGTTATAAATTTTAAAAGGACTAATGTCTTCCTACTCATAATTTTAAAATAGTCTGGCCTATCCATTTGATTACAAGACTCCTAAATTAAACCTGTAATTTGATATTGTGGGGTTCCTCTGAAAGAAATTCAATTTTTCAGGGTTCATGTTTCAGAATGTAGTGAACTAATAAAACTTTGTCGAAACATGCATTATGCAGGGACGGATATGGCGCTACGTCTGTGTACTGCGCGTTGATGGCGCTGTTGGAACAGTTCAATGTCGAGAAAGCCGTGGACGTGTTCCAGGCAGCTCATCGTCTGCGCATGGTCGACCCAAACATGATGTACTCGCTGGTAAGTTTACACATTAAATTTTGTGAGACGAACGGAGACAAAGCTCAAACGGCGACAGCCATAGGAGGGCGCTCTTTAGTCCGGTTTAAATACAAAGAAATTCAGCCAAACCAGATCCCCAAAATGGCATATACTCGGAATATTATGAGTTTAAAGTATTGTCTCATTTTTGTCATGAAACTGAACAAAACAATTGTAGATTTAGTTATTTTCGCAGTTGCATGCTTCACGTTTTGGTATTCATAGAATCATATTTACCCAACCGAATGACAAAAAGAGTGGCCAAAAGCAAACACTGCAGATTATTTCTAGACTAGAGTAAATGAAGATGTTTAACTCAACTACAAGGTTAAAAGAAATTCTAACTTAATAAATGCATTAGAATGTATTTTACGAAAATAGCAAAAAATAGAAATCATTGCTTGTGTTGTCGGTGTGTATTTTGGCTACTGTTCTTATTTCTATTGGTCAAATTTGCGTTTCAACATTTTGTATTTTCATTGAAATATAAATTGTCCAGCACCAGTATGCCATGTGCTATGATGTCATCCAAGCATACATGAACTCGACCAGCATCTATGAGAACTTCACACCGGAAGGCCTGGTTGGATAGTCATCGATCACGGTGTGAACGGGAAGACATCGACCAACATATTCTTCGTACATCACGTCAAAACGTTTCTAAAAACTGTTAACGTATGGCCTATGCACAACTTTTTATACATTTGTATACGTAGAAACATGAGTAAAATAAGGAGTATTGTGCTGAGGCTTTTCCTAAATATCAGAATCATTAAACGTATAAATTCTTACGGCTTTTTAATTTTGTGTATAAATGCGTCTTACGATACAAGCATACTACCCAGAAGGAAATATGTTACTTATTAGTTTCTGAAAAGAAACTGTTATAAAAACTGTTTAACCCTAAAAGGGCCGGGGCGGAATCCGCCCCCCCCAACCCGAGCTGTTATGACTTTTTATCCTCGAGCTTTGCGCATCATTTGATACCAAAAACATAAAAATTCGACCACGGGTTGGCACGTAGCGAAAAATGTTCCGGTGCTACGCGCCGTATACGTAAAAACTGAATTTTCCCATATAATTAAGTCGTGCACACAGAGCAGAATTGCCATTCGTACATTATGAATAATTAATAAGCCATAATTCTAAAACCTATTAACCTATAGTCATGGAATTTCCTGGGTGTATTTAAGAAGAGTTTCTCTATGGGTGTACTGAGTTTCAAATTTTTTCGTCACTCGATGGCCGAGATCTGGGGGCGGAATCCCCCCCCCCCGGGCTGAGAGATGGTCAAAATAACCCGGCCCTTTTAGGGTTAACGCATTTTTACTCCAGCTTATATATATGGTGAGAATTAGAGGACATTGTTTTCAGTATAGCAGACAGCTCACTGCGACGTTTAATGCATTTGTCGTGATTGCACAAGTCTGCACGTTTTACAAAAAGAGACAGTTTCTGTAAAAGATCATTTAATCATATGACTTGAAGCTTTGCATGGCGATTGAGATCAAATAGAGGAAATTTTCGGGTGACACCATGTAGAAAGAAATCTCTTCTTGGAAGAAGTGTGGTTCTGAAAAGAACCGGTTGGTTGAGTGTATAACTGGGCACAACTCATCAAGCAGCATGCATCAACCACACCTCAGCGCATCCAGCATCCTACATCCGACGCACAAGCATCCAGTCACACCGCAATGCACACGCACAGCCATAAAACCTCCAGTATCATCCACATCTCATCACTCGCATTCCTGAGGACGAACATAGCACACTGTCCGAAACGTTCGAGTTATACACTCAACCAACCAGTTCTTTTCAGAACCACACTTCTTCCAAGAAGAGATTGCTTTCCACATGGTGTTATCCGACAACTTTCTCTATTTTATCATTCAGTTAAACAAGCGGCATGGAATTTTAAGAAGTATTTACAGTAAAAAGAATGTATTTCAAGAAATTACGTTGATATTCAGATGTATTTGTTATTGATTTCGTAGTGTGTATATTTGCAAGAGAAATGTGATGTAATTACTCAGTGGCGTGTACAAAGTCTGATTTCAACGTTAATTTAAATGCTTAAAGTTAGGTTTATACATTGCAAAATCACTATTGGGAAAAACAGTCTCGATTTTAAGCGATGTACATGTATCTGGGATGCAATCTACATCACTCAACATATATCGCTAAAATGTATACAAATATTGAGTGGCTCAGCGTGGAATAGGAGGAATATTATCGCAAGGTAAAATCTGGACTTTTCCATTTCACGACGCGAAGCCGAGTGAACTGGAAAAGTCCAGAATTTACCGAGCGATAATATTCCTCCCATTTCACAATTTAAAGCCACTCAATATATGTTTTATATCACTGACATATAGCTCCTTGTCATTTGGTATATTTGAACTTTTATTTCACTACAAAATTGATGGGAAATGTATTTCTCTCTTCCAAACCACCCCTTCACGAAATGTTTGAGCCCCACTCTGTAGCGCTGGCTCTTTGGAACAATACGCTCTACACGCAACGCTGAACGCGCACACCATCATGCCTTTGCAAACAAATACCGCGTCTTGAAACAAGAATGATCCTTACTGTTGAATAGTATTTCCCATTCCCCATGGGCGGATAGTACTTTTTGAGCCGCGGCGTGAATGGGAGCAATAACGAATGTCACGTGATGTGAGTTCCACCAATCGAATGACTAGGATATGTATGTCGGTTTTATACACCACCTGAATAAATCCCCGTCATCTGATTGGTGAATTGTAGATCACGTGACATATTATTATTCGGTATAATGCACGGTGCGACCATGCGTTATACCCATGCGTTATACCGTTTCACTTTGCGCTTGTTCCATGACGCGGTATTTGCGTGCAAACTGCATGCTGGTGTGCGCGTTCAGCGTAGCGTGTATTGTTCCAAAGAGCCAGCGCTACAGCGTTGGGTTCAAACATTTTCGTGAAGGGGTAGTTCAACATCTTTAAAATCAAAATAAATTGTAGTTTATAATTTACCAATCAAATGACGAGAATTTATTCAGGTGTTGTATAAAACAAATAACGAATGTTTTACGTTCGTGCGATGGAAAGAATAATTTCATTCGGTGACAGATTGAATGTTCTATTCCACTCGGTTTCGCCTCGTGGAATAGAACATTCAATCTGTCACCTCATGAAATTATTCTTACCATCACACTCACAAACATTCGTTATTTGTATAATATAACATTATATTGATGATAACACACCATACTCCCAATAGGGTGTGCAAATTATTGTTAATATTAGAGGATTGTGGACTGTTGGGCTTAATGTAGCCAATTTGCTTTTGTCACTCAAATTGTAGTTGACTTCAAATTCGCTTCGCATTCGCATTCGCATGAAGTATGAACCGGGCTTAACGCGTGGATGTTCTGTATTGTTAAATAATGTGTGGTCAACACTCGCTACTTTAATTAACAATGGTGTATGTACAAACGAATCTGTTATTTTCAATCACTCATATAAATGAATAATGAAAAAATCTACTCCTTATGTAGCTGTTGGTACTGATAGAGTTTTTTTCAGAACAAAAACATGCAAAAGATTTGGAACACATTCGTCAAGCTTCATTGTATAAGTTTGTTTATATCGTATTGAAGACAGTAGATCAGTGGCATCTTTGTGTGGCCCAATTCAGTTATACTAATTGTTATTGTCAAATGATGTGTTATCAACATTATCTACTCAGATTAACTTTAAGACTTAATGATACAAAAACATGGAATCGTAATGTTCAATTACTGACAATCTTTTTTATCTACTAATCAGCTGTTTTTAGCGCAAACAAAATTTCTAGAAATATTTCAATGTTTTCAAATTTTATTTCGTTCATTCTTTGAGAATGATTCGCAAGGCTTCAGGCACGTTATAGCGAGTTTTCGAAATTTATTGTCCACAGTTGTATAAATGTAATTTCAACATTCTCAATCTTCGCAAATATTGGTAGTCCAAAAGGTCAGGAGGTTTTTGAGAATCGTAATTGTTCAGATTGATCGGTCTTTGCTCTGTGACATCAAAGACTGTGTTAGGTCGTCATATTTAATTTGGGATTCTATCTAATTCCTTTATTTTTTTTCTTCTGTAGTTTAACGCCTTTTCTGAAAAATCATGACTGACCATACAAACGGAGAATAAGAACCCTTTAAGTGGCAGTGTAAGATCAAGTTTTTAAAACAACAGCATTTAATTTTTAGTTAATGGCTTAATTATTTGTCATTGATAACATAAATTCAAAAATTCTGATTGCTAGCCTTAAAACAGTTTTGCCACCGTAAATTAAACGAGTATCAGTGGCGTATCCAGAAGGGGGGGGGGGACCAGAGGGGGCACTCTGCCCCCGGAGGATTTTCTTTTCACAATTTTTTTAGTTCAGCAATTATTTCAATAAATGGTTATAGACGTCAATCCCATAAAAAAACAGCTCAAAAGCCATTACAATGCGCCGTGAAAATGGGTATATAATTTGCAGTATGCATAATAATGGTCTGTTTTTGAAGAGCGCCCCTATTAAGAAGGTGTCCCCCCACCCCCCCCCCCCCCCCCCCTCCCCGCTATTTAGATTTTACGGAGGTCAAGTGTCCGTAGAAAAAAACATGTCTACATTTCGGCGCGGATGCTGCCCAACCCACCCCCCTCCCGACATTTTCAAAGTTGGACACGCTATTGACGAGTAGGGATTCAAAAAAGCAAGCCGATGATGCATTGGAATGGCATCACGAATAACGCGTTTAGTGAGGGAAAGAAATTCTCCCATCACAAATTCATTTCATCGGTTATAAATAAGTTTGAGTATTTTTGTCAGAGTTTTCATTGTGCGCGAATGGTTGTCTTGTTAGAAAAAATATCGCCCTCTGTTGGAACGTTTTACTTGCCAAATGAATAGCGCCCTCTAAATAGTATGAATGCTATGGCATTTAATTTGGAACGGTGACTTCGTTTAGAGGTATTTGGAAATTACACTTGGTGACCTCGTGGTATTTCGCACTCTCATTGGATAGACTTAAATCCAACGGTTGAGTCACACACGTCCACTTGCTCAAAATACGTTGATATACGAGAATGTACGGGTACTGAATGTGGCTGAAAGTTGCCCTGCGAATTTATTTTTTCTTCAAAAGATTTTGTGGCAAATGATTAGCAGTGATAATTATTAGGCCAACCGAATATTGCCTGTCGCTGGTTGCAACGTGTCATGTGAGGGCGCACATTTTGATTTGATACATTTTGGGTAGCCAGTGGTCGGCACGTACATAATTATACACATATCATGTACACATGAAATAGCCGTCAACAGTGGCATTTTTTGAGGCGATGACTTCAGAGCCTAACAGCACCCTTGAAAGCTCACCGCTTGAACCAAAACTACCATTCGCGCTACATTGCGAACAGGAAACAATGTGTGGAAAACATATGGACATTTATGCATACCGAGAGATGCCGCATACCCTCTACAATGGATGCCAACAATATAAGCAATGGCGTTGGTCTATTTATAGTGGGGGGGCGGCACGGGGAATTCCCTGGCACTGTGATTGTTTCTTAAAGACCGGATTAAGGATATGTACTGGACCTTAATAAAAACATGGTTGTGTGAGCTTTTGTACACTTTCACTCTGCAATCTATACACACCCCGCACAAGCCCTGATTCTGAGAGGAAAAAAGCTCCAACCCAATTTTTCTGTCGACATATCCACATGATAACTGAATGAAGCATGTCTCACGTACAGGCTAAAACACAGTTCGAAAGTTTAACTAAACTCGCTCTTGCAATGACCACACACAACTAAATCTCCACTTTGCAGGGACTTGTTTTGAAAGTCCTGATCAGGTGTTGCTGAAATGAAACTCGGCACACAGAACTGATTTGGTTTCATAGGGATAAAGGTCCTGACTGACATAATTCATTGAGGTACAGGGGCGGATCCAGGAATTTTCGCAGGGGGGGGGGTCGTCGGCCAAACAAATCTGAAATGTTGAAATGTTTTTCGCCGGGCACTTGGTCTCCGTAAAATAAAAAAGCGGGGGGGGGGGGGGGGGCCTTGTACTATACTTTCAATGGGGGCGCTGTTCAAATCCGACGATTATTTACAATATCAAAGAATAATGTACATACCCCTAACCAAGCTAGCGCTCAGTGCAAGGCAGACATTATTACTAGAAAAAAATTGGGTGTCGGAGCTAGCAGGGGGGGGGGTTCCGGATTTTTTAAAGGAATTTCTACGGGGAAAAAAATCAATTTGGAACAGAGCGGGGGGAGTTGAACAGAGCTAGACCTCCCCCCTACCCCTCTTGATCCGCGCCTGAGGTAAATGTCTGGTATTTTAACTTAAATGTGAAATTTCTAAATATAACTTTCCCTCCTTCGGTTGCTATTATAAACATTAGTATTATTATCAAAACTCATAATACAATAATTTAACCATTGGCTCGAAATTGATCAAGAATTGACTGGACCACATACGTTTTAACGAATCTCTCTTAATGTTTGTCAAAGGTTTTTACCCCTGGCAGATATCGGTATTACACATAAAAGGTTCAATTTTGAGTTGATGAGAAGCGCTTAATTCTTTAAAATGGCAAATGAAATAATATAGCCTAGTCGATCATTGCAGTAACTAGGACACTGCAGTGTCTGGGTTTTATTTCCTTAAAAAGGGCACTATGTTCCTATTCCTTATAAGAACTCGGACGACACGAAGGTCACTCATATAATAATATGAGTGACTTTCAGACAAGGAAGTAAATTGTGGGCTGGTGTTTGCTTTGCCACACAGCCCCGCTGGATATGGTTGACTCAAAAATGAACTCATTTCATATTCATTGTTTTGTTTTCCCTTTGTACTTTCTAGAACGCATTCACGTCTACATGAATTGCTAATCTCCCACCACAAGTTCAATCTGCACGTGACCTTTACACGATTGTCTTACTCGCAACTGCGCATGTATTTCGTCTGTGAAGGAAACTAGTTTACTTTCTGTTCTGCGGGGAACATGGCGACTTTTGGGTTTCGAGTTGTGATCTGGTTAGTGAATTGACGTCCAAAAAGACAAATTTCCGTTAAACAAAAGAAAAATGGGATCATCTCCAAAATGTCGTCTCCTACTCCCGATGTTTTTGTGGGCATGTGCCATTCTTCAAAGAGGTAAATTTACAACTTTATATGTCAAAATTACAACCCGGAAATGAACAAATTAAATTCCAGTGTATGTATATTGTGCTAATGTACATGTAGGCATACTATGTACTTATCGCTACTTCGATTAAATGTAAGAGAAGGCCATGGGTACTTCTTCCAAAATGGAATTATGATAAAAATATATTTTTCCTAACAATAATTTAATCTGAAACAAATCGTTGAATCAAAATATGAAAATATAGAAATTATTATATAAAGTTTAATTAAAAATTTTTAAAAAATTTTTAAGCGCTGATTTTAAATTGACCATCTTTTGCACTGCAACATAAATTCTGTTTTGTTGCAATATAGCCTACTCACGTCTAGATCAGCTTAAAATAATCTTAAGTAAATCAGTGCTATTTCTGTTTTTGACGAATTGTAAACATGCTGAGAGAGTGTCACTAAAAATGTATGGACCTTATCTTTCGGTAAACGTAAAACGCGATTTTTTTTTATATGGCATATACCTATATAATGTATGCCAAACTCACATACCATCTAAATGTTGAAAAAAATCAAACCTATTAATTATCGTCAGGTTATGCTTTTCATCTCCGTGTTCCATAAAATATCCGTCTGTTTGTTTTATATCTTGACTGTATAGGTTTAGCCGTTGATCTGGATCTGCAAGACAAGACGGCCACCCAGAGTAGCGATTACTATGCTAAAGATCTCAGTATAGATCTTGTTGCAGACCGAGCAATAGATGGAGATACCACAACATTTTCACACACTGGTAAATATTTTTCCAATTTTCAAAAAATGATATTAGGCTATATAATAAATCCTAAGGGAACGATTTGAAATCAAGTTCCACAGATAATGGCATATCTCATGAGAAGGCGCCTTAGGTAAAATATTGATAATTTTGTTGTTATAAGCCTTCTAATGTTTGAGTGCTAAAAATCAAGCACTCAATCAAGCTCACGTCGTATAAGCTTGCAAGCTATCTAATGGCCAATGATTTCGCCTCAAAAGAAGACGCGCTTGAAGTGCATAACTAGCGAGATAAGAGAGTGAAAAATATGAAGCTCAACCTTGTACTCATACCTGACAATAATGCTGACAATTTGTATGATTATGAAAGCAATTTCTACCCAATCATTGAGGATGTCATTGTATTTGAAAATCCGTCCACATGTTTAGATCGTATCAAAGAATCGGAAATGACCAACGAGGTTACTTTTTTCCATTGGCGTAAAAAAAATGTATTTTTTTGGGAGGGGTTTGTTTGGAAAAGGGAGGGTACACATGAAAATGGGCACTAGCCTTAGTATCAAGTGGTGGCGGCCACTGATTTCTATTATACTGACTGGATAGCGCTTCGAGCCGTGGGGATGTAGTCACTGGACCGTGGATGCCATTTTCACCCTGCCGCTCCCCATTTAGTCACGTAAAAGTATATCAAATACATAAAATTACAAAAATATTTACGTGGGTAAAATAAAACTGTGGGCAAAATGAATAAGTAAAAACCTGTTTGTTGATCCCAAATCACTTCCTAAACTATTATTATTTTGTGCTTTTATATAAATGGATCCAGCCGTGTGGTTGCGAAGGCCGAAGTCTAAAGGTTACGTAATACTTTATTTGGAATGAAACAACATGCACACAGACATGTTCACGTTGACGGACGAAATCTTTGAAAAGACCGTACCTTTATGCTACTTTCATATTTTTTTCCCTTATAATGAGCCAAGTATGTGTTTTGATAAGTTCAGTACTTTCGTTGAGATTGAACAAAGCCTGGCTACGTGCATTTTTAAAAGTTGAAACAATTGTGTTTGGAATATCTCTCAATCTTGTTAAGCCTCACGAACATTAATAAGGTTCCTATCCTTTATGGTGTGCGATAAAAACAATTGTAGAATCGCTTCCTTTACAAATTATTAAATAAAAAATATCACCATTTTTGCCGGCTCCCATTGGTCGATGCCGAGACCGACGTGAAATCACACCGAGTGACGCTAATGAATATGCTAACATGCGCCACTTTATTGTTGCCCCCAAAACAGCCAACCTCAAAACTATGCACGTGAGTTAATTTGGTCGGCAAAACAATCCTCGTCCAAACTTACGTTTGAGATAACAAATTAAGCTGGAATTCGGAATAAACTTAGATGACATAAGTGTTCAATTACTCGTTAAATAACGACTGGAGGGGATTCCTATATTTTGAGATAAATACATAGAGTTGGAGACATTTTCAAACGATTTCTTCCTGACTTTAAGGTCAGTTTTACAAGCAACCAGGTTTGACGTTTCAGCATCGATGATGACGATTTTTTTCACTGACATTTATTTATGTGTTTATTCATTACATTTATTTACCCAGGGTGTGCCCAAACAGTCAAAAACTGCATTGAGGCCCTGCATTAAATTAAAATAATGACTACAAACATTTATACAAATACCAGGTACAATATTGTACAAAAGGTATAATACATTACAAATACAATACAGTACAATACAATGGGATATAATGTTATCGAATTAATGCATGCTTGTTAAGCAAATATTATAAATACTATACCTGTATTGTAAAACTATTATAACTACGTATACAGTTTGAAACAACATCGCTTACACGCTTTACTAAAAGGTTAATTCAGTAAACACAAAGAATGTTGATCTATTTCGAACATCAAGAAAATATAATTTTTTTTGCTGATTACGAGAGGGGCGAAAAACCCGCGAAAAACCCTTTTGGGAGAAAACACGGACACGACTATTGGACAATATGTGGTGCTTTTCATGGCGCACAATTGCCGACGTTCGCAGGACGTTAAAAAAGGGCACACGTTAAAAAAGAACGCTCGTGAATAAAGGGCATTTGTGGAATAAAGGGGAACTCGTTTTAAAACTGGGGTTTTTAAGGGGGGAACCCCTCCATCCCATCGCTGGCTACGCCACTGTTTTCATGCCTCCTTCAAAAAACTTCTTTTCCTTTTTCTCGCCTAGCTTGTAGCCACTTTTGAATCTTTTGTATAATAAATTCAATGGATAAGCCACATGTTGGTTTCAATTTACTTTAACCCTCCTGCTGTTTTTACAGTCACAGACAGTCCAAAATTTCTATCCACTTCCCCAATACTTTAATACAGGCTAGTCACCAGCATTCAGTTCATACACGTGTGTCAAGCAAGCACTGTGACTAGTCAAAGTCAGTCTAACACAACATGAACAGACAAAGCAAGCAGAGTGATGGGCAAAGCTGTCGCAGGCCAACCTAGCCTATTTCGACAGTCCCTACGCTATTTTTTTTTCCGGGGGGGGATGAAGGAAAAACCCCGAAAACAATCAATTACTACCTTTTACCCTTGACTACACACACACCTCTATGATCAAACACAAAAAATGCCCCCTTCCCCCCGAAAAAAATCCCGACCTACCTATAGCTACCCTTTTTTCAAATGCCATGTAATCGGAAGCAGAACTGTTTTCGGGTCTTAACACTTATACCAACAGTTAAAGCATAGCTCAACAGTCACGGCCAGTCAATCCTGCTTTATATAGGCTGCAAATCCTTAACTGTTGAAAACAGTCACTTGATTGATTTTGACTAAAAGGACTACTTGGAACAGAATGAATGTTTGCATATTAAGGTTCATGAAGGGTAACTTGATTTTTTTTAATGAATTCAATTTTCGTCAGGGTGCCGCGGAAACCAATGGTGGAGAGTTGATCTGGGAACTGCGTACTGTTTGGCAAGAATCACTATAGTAAACAGAAATAGCAATGGTAAGTCTGATTATGCATGTGCAGTAGCAAGCAAAAGAGTAGATTTTAAGAATATTCTCTTGAGTGAACATTCGTTTAAGGACTCGTTTTGTAGTTCGAGGAAAACTGTTTCATCAAGCTACCGCAATTTCCTGACTGTCGCTGTTTATTTTTTGTTCGTCTGGTGATCTTTGGAAAGAAATATAATGTGACCTCAAATGACTGCATTGGTCAGTAACATACACTATATAGAAATACGAACAGCCGATTGCTCACAGCATGGAGTCCTCTATTAGTCTAGAATTAAGATTTGACACATACATCATTCGCATTCTTCAGTCAAAAAGGATTTTTTTCTCTATCACTTCAATGCATAACAAATCTTAATTGTTGGCTCCCAGTGAAGGCAAAGTGGTTCAAGCTACAACCGTAGGCCTATGGTTATTTTGCAGCACTAAATACATTGACTGCATTCAGCAGCCTTTCTCGACATGTGTTTTTATGTTAATTCGTTGAATGCACAAGAGGTCATACTAACCCCTATTCAACGAAACACTGACCTCAAAGATAACTGTAGTTGAAACATTTTATAAATATGCAAAGGTATTTTGAAATCGAAATATTTCCAAGTAAAAATATTCAGAAACGCAGTGTATGAAAAGAAATAATGGAATACACTTTTACAACGGTTTGTTATTGTAGGTCTAAACATTCAAACACAGTTAGGGAGAGAAACGCAATTTGCTTTAATGCATTGGTTAAAGTTGGAGTCGGATTCATTATCAGATATGCATGTACCAAAAACAAAGCCTCCGCCAGCCGGTTGACGTTTTGCAGCTGCTTATAACTGAAATTTGACTTTCAGGAAAATAATTATTAACATTAAGTTAACGTTGTAAATGTAACTTCATAAACAGCCCCGATTACCATTCTAACAAGAGATGGGGTTATGCAAGAGTTAGTATACCGATGATACTTCATTGCAGGTGGGCGACTGAACGGTGCTGTAGTGCAGGCTGGTTTGGATCCATCAGATTTCTCACAGAACACACGGATAGGAACAGTCACAAGTTTCCAGGCAACCAACGGAGCAACGATTCCTTTTACATCGGACCCGGCCATCTCTGCTCGATACGTTAGTGTGGAATTGTCAGGGAATTGCCTTCACCTGGCTGAAGTCAGGATTAGCACAAACGACATAATTACAAGCAGTAAGAGAAAAACTTTTTGATGACGAATAAATAATCTTAGCATCATGATGACCGACAATACAACATTTCCATCTCTGCCACGCTGGTGATATAACAAACAGTCTCGGCCACATTTTCACTGATAAACCTTACGGTCACAAAAAGAAGAAAAAAATATCCGTTTGAAAAATGGTTGATAAGAGGCAAATTCCATGCAGAGTGGTAGTCTTATTTTCATTGGTTGCATTTTCATCGAGATTCTAATCGGGAGCTAATGAATAGAATCAGCAAAGATTGCTCACCTAAAATATGAGACGACTTAATGGGCGTGCCTGCTTTAACCACTAGCTTTAAACCTATCTACTTACGATGTAACATTTCCTGGTCACTGATTTTCACAAATACTTGTATGTACTCGTATAAAGTAATCACGTGCATTTTTGGCCTTAGAAGATGCAAACAACTGTGGCTCTAATAGTTTGACAGTCAGCTGCCTAATATCTGTTCTTTCCATAGTAACGCCAACAAATGTCGATGCTACAAGTATGACAGTCAGCTGGTCTACAGTGCCCTGTGCTATTTATTACTACATGGAGTATGCCTTGACCAACAGGGATAATTGTGAAAGCATCAATCAACCGACGTATATCAGTCCCTGCAATATGTGTCAGGGAAACACGGTCACAATAAATGGTCTAGTACCATTCTCTCAGTACACTGTACGAGTCAAGGCTTATGTATATGGTGCATACGGACCAATAAAAACAGTCATCTTCACAACCACATCATCAGGTATGGTACAACATGGACGTTACTCTTCTGCCCATTTTCTTTTTTTAATTTTGTACTTTAACTTAAAAACTTTGAAACCAAATTGGTTTTTATTGCTAGAAATTGTTTTACCTCAGTACACCCAAGTGCAATATTTTAACCCTTGATATTTTTAAAACGAAATAGCGGCAATTGCAGAAACGTGATGATAACAGTCTTTACCAAAATGCAATAATTTAACCTTTTGGTAATTCATTTTCCATTGCAGCACCGACTGGACCACCCACTAATGTAGCACCTGGGTCTCAAGCCCAACGCAGCCTAGCCTTCTCCTGGAGCCTCCCAGCGTGTGGAAGCCGAGGCGGTGTCACAGGATACGACTATAGGCTTAGTACAAGTGGCGCTGCACCATTGACTGGCCAGACCACAGCAGGCCTCTCAGTTACAATAGATGGACTTACTCCCCATACTTCTTACAGTTTTCAAGTTGCTGCAAGGACTAATGATGGGACTGGACCGTACAGTGTGGCTGTAACATCAACAACACAAGAAGCAGGTAATCTATGTGTTCTGTTGTTCTTCCTCAAACTAAATTCCCTATCTCCATCTTCTCCTTCTTAATTGGGTTTGATTCTAATTTGGGTGCGGTTGTCTTGCGGTTGTTTTTGGATTCCATACACAAAATAATCCCTCTAGCAAAAAAATGACAAAAACGCCGATGATAAAGGAAGTTCCTTTAAACCACTAAAGTTTAATTCCAATACGCACTTATTATTGGTTAACTGCTTCTCAATGCACGGTACCTATATTTTAAATCATTTGCAACAACAAACCAATTACTCGTTTTGGTGTTCAATCACAACAGCGCCCACAGTTCCCCGCAATGTTCGCATCCTGTCGACAGATGACATGTCCGTCAGTCTTGGTTGGAGTGAACCAGTTCCAGCGAATGGACTTATCTTGCACTACAATGTTCGCTACTGGAGGAAAGGAGACATGCAAACTATGGAGACTGATCCTATAGTCATTGGGTTGATGCACAGTGTCACGGGCCTTGAAGTCGATGTGCCATACATGGTCGTGGTATGTCATATTCTTTATTTTCGATAATTGGCTGATTTGTGTCGCAGAAACCACTTTTCTTCCTAATGGTAGCAAAAAAATGAACGGTTTCGTTGACGATCAGAATAATTTCAAGGCAAACACCATCAAACTGCTACATTGACAAAAATCAATAGTTTGGAGTTCAAATAAACTCTATCAACTTTAGCATATGTTTTAACGATCACTCTCGAAGCGGAGAAAACATATCTAAGTTATGGTATTATGGATTACAGGTAAAAACGGTTTCATCAGAGGTGTCGAATAGCAATACACTTATAGGGTTTGGCATGATTTTTGCAGGTGCGAGCTGTGACGTCTGCTGGTCCAGGCCCGTGGAGTGAACCTATTGAAGCACCGACAACAATCGGAGGTAGATTATCGGAAATAAAACAATCAAGTTAACAAGGAACCACTTCGTCTCCTTTAGTTCGTTTTAAGGAAATACAACTCCTCCTATTTTAACAACTATCACAAAATGTCAAAATACTTCCACAAATCCCTAGTATGACCACTAATGCAGGTACAGCTTATGTAGCAGCCATTTTAAAATGGTCAATTGTACCAATATGAGGGCAGTTTGCAGATTTGGTAAAATCTGTCATCAGATAATATTCACTTCGCACAGGAGGGTTTCAATTAAAGGAAATAAAACTTTAAGAAAATGAAACTATATTCATGTAAACTATAATGAAATAAAACATCATTTATTTTACTGATCTATGTGTATTATTTACGTGGTATTTAAATCAATGAACGTTAACATCGAGTGTATTCTATTGTGCTAAAGTTCATTTTTTATTTCCGCAGTTCCTGGACCTGTTGGGAATCTTAACTTCACAGAGAGGACAGAGACATCAATCACTTTGGTCTGGGACCCGCCACTACAACCGAGAAGACCAATCATCGGTTATGTAGTATGTATTAATGCCCACATGTCCTACTGAAAAATTGTATGCAATTAAGATTTGAAAAAGCAGAAGTATAAACAGTTTCTACTAATCACTGGGGAATAGAAGAGGCGTATTTTAAGGAATACATGGGTTGAAATGTTGCTTCCGACATATTGTTTTTTTCAGGATGTGAAAGTATTGCCTTTGAGAAAGGCCCTGTCGGAATGTTAAGCCCCCGAGGATGTTTGTATATTCAGGTCTATCTAGTAAGTAAGCAGTTCGCAGCAGTTCTATTCATTTTCATTTTTACGTACTGCATGCACACAGTCAGAAATGGTCTATCATATGATATAATCTTTACAAACAGCTGTGTGAATTCTTTTTTAAAATTCCTGTTGCTAGGTAGATTACCGTACATTGGAGAGGCCTTATCGACCGGACTTCACGGCAGAGGACACTTACGAAACCAATGAAGCTCAGAATTCACCCTTCACAAAAACCAACCTGGAACCTGGTACTAAATATGAGTTTAGGGTGTTGGCGAAGAACGAAATGTTCACAGGAACAGAACACCGAATGTTGGAGGTTTACACAAAGCCGGTGACGGGTAAAAATATTTTCGTTTTTTAATTAATTATTGTCAATACGCATTAAATCTGTGCGATTCGTTTGATGATCAATACGACTACCACCAGGCGGGGTTTAAAATCCGTTTGGAAATGTATACCCCTTGGCGACTACAGTGAAAAATTGTCTTGTTAGGCCTTTGTAGTACATAACGGAAAGGTTAGGTAAATTTCAATTTTAAAATTGCATGTCAAAGAGAAAGAGATATCGGCTAAGAACGAACTCTTGACAGGAACTCTAAGAATTTGACTGGTGTATACAAAGCAACAATCAGGTATGAAGTCTGTGTCACCGAGTAGTTTATGAATTTCAGCCGATCAGTAAATGAAAACAGGCGTGTAGAATACTTTGAAAAACTGACTGATTCCTCTGTTGGTCTTGAAAACTGACTTTAACGTCTACTCGGTTTTTTCAAAGAAAGGGAAAACAACAACAACGATGGCCGACTGTTTCCACTTTCGAAAAGATTCCAATTCAACTAAAATTTTCTATTTATTATCACAAAATATATTTACTTTATATGTATTGTATATTTTTACCCATCTTAAACTGAATGACTAGGACAATTTTAAAAAAAGATTTTGATGCTTTTATTTAATGAGAAACTGCAAATGTTTTATTTCAACAGATCCACCTGCTCCACCCAAACCCACTACAATTCAAGAGAAAACAACAGACATGACAGTCACAATCAGCTTGGCAGCTCCAAAGTCTGCTGTGTACATAGAGTAAGTAAACAGAAACACAAAAACATATTATAGCAAAATATAAATGGGATCTATTGTAAGAGCAGTTACCAACGTTTTTGAGTTTGTTTATCTTGAATGTCTTTGAAAACCTGACCCTTGTTACGATCAATAATTGTTTTAAGTTGCGTCATACACCTGCAATGCTTAATTTCCGTTGATGGCATGCACATTTCGATGTTTTATGGTATAAGGTAACATGTCCGTTTAAAATGTAGTATTAGTAGTATAAAAATCATGTATTTTCAATTAAATTTGTATTATTACATTTTATTACAGATCATACGTTATTGAGGTTAAGAAGGCTGGTACGTTGTCTGTGATCAAGAGAGATGTTCTCGTTACGAGGCGTTCTGAGGACCAAGTTGACGGTTATATTGCAGCTAAATTTCCCAAGACTAGCCTTCCTGCTGAATTCGTAGTTGGAGACTCTATGATGTATGGCGGCTACAGGAACGCACCGCTGCAGCGAGATGCTGTATACAACATCCGCGTTGGGTCTGTTACTAAAGGCAACGAAGCTGTGAGTTTCCATAACAAGGTTTTGCCCGAAAATGTCCAAAAACATAACAATGTTTTGCCGGAAAAAAATATCAACGATTTGTAGCGAGCGCGGAGTAGCGCCGTGGGGCTTGAGTCTCGTTGGGGGCGAGTTGACATACACACACACAGCGGAGATTAAGTTTCACGGGAGAATCACTGATTATTTATTCATTCATTAATGTTCATTCGTCTTCATTGGTTGCTCAGAGTCGAAGGGAAGGAGGTAGCCAGTCGCTGCACCAGGCTAAGAACGACAAACAGTAGCTTTCATCATGATTTCCAGCGGTATTCGGGGGAATTATCTCCCTACTTTCCCCAATTCGGAGGCCATTCCTCTCATCTCTCCCCGTGACTGACCCAGATTTCTATCCTTTTCGTTTGACACTAGTTCCGGAGCACTGCCCCGCGAAGCCTGTTTACCGCTGTCTGGGTTACCTCTCCCTTCTCTTCCAATAAACAGCTTTTGTATCACTCTAAACAACCTTAGTAATATTCAAAGAGTATACTTAACTACCAAATTATGTAAGATACAGTCTTTTATAAACACCAAACAATAATTAATGAGGCCCTATATTATCTTACACGACACCGAATGCCAGTCTTTGCAGACATATCCCTACGCTGCATGGATACACGTTCTATTTTTAGAATATTGTGCACACACCTGGGCAGGCCAGCTTTTGGCAATTAATGGTGAGTAGGCGAGCGCCCTCTGTTGGCCAAATTTGTGAATGATCAACAACAAATCACTATCATAAGTCATTTCTCCACAGAATGCTTATTATTTGCTTACGCTGGACGGTCGTATTAAGGGTGTATATTATTCTAATTTAATAAGCCTCTGTTCTGGTGACATCACACTTCGTTTACACGTGTGTTTTTTTGTGGGAGCCTGGTAGGAACGACGCTTTCGTAGCCCAATAGAAACGCGCACAAGTAAACAAAGTGTCACGTCAGAGGCTTATTGAGTTCATGAAAAGTCCACTCATAGCAACACGGCGATTTTAGAAGCTGATATGGTTCCCCATTTTGAATGACAGTTCTTAATGTTTAAAATACTCTTGGCAGAAGTGATTTATTTTCCCATTTCATGTTCCCGGTGTTTCTTACCAAATTAGTGATACCAGTTTCTTTCACTTTCTTTAGTTACATATAATGTCGTGATTACAATGTTCTTCGTATCGCTCACTTTGAGTCACATTGTCGTTCTGCAGGAAGCCACGGTAACATATTCAGAGCCACTGACAGTCATTGGTAAGTATATATGGTGAATATATTACAGAAGAGCAAAATACGGTAAAAGTGCTATGGAAATAACTTACTTGACAGAAACTTCTGAATTTGTTTTAAGTGCAAAAGCCGGAAGATGTCACCCCATCAGCGAGTGGCAACGGAAGCACCATTGTCGCTGTCGTGGCTAGTGTGATAGTGTTCGTCTTGGTCATAATCATTGTCATTGGGAGTGTGGTGTGGAGAAGACGAACTCGCCAACATGCATCAAATAGTTCTCTAGTACCTAGAACTATGGAACTGGTAAGTGACTCTCATAGCATGCAATTTGGTATTGATTATTTGTTTATGTGATTAAAATTTGTATCTAGTTATGAACTGTAAGGTACAAAACTACGACTGTTTATTGGATGAGTTCATGTGTTTGTTCTGATGTTTGATTTGCGCAGTTAATGTTGCGAAAATAAAGCTACCAAAAAACTCTTCCACCTAAATTTCTTCTGTCATTTGAGCTGACTGCATGGCTTACTTTCAATCATTGTTAAGACTTATTTTAAAGTTGTTTTAACAGACCCTTCAATAAATTATTGATTGTGCAGCTTCAAAGGGATTGTCTTGAAATGTTTTTTTTTATTTCCTAGGTTGCCAAACCTACAACCTACGAAAATGACCAACCGAGAGCTGTCAATCCCGATGGCGATATAAATGAGGATGTTGGGCTTCCCACCTGGGCCAGGAAACTGGAAATCAAATCGGAGAATTTGATCATCGATGATGAGATTCTTGGTAGGGGTAACTTTGGCGAGGTGCGGGCAGGAGGCGTGAGGATCGGAGGCCAGGTCACCAAAGCAGCCATCAAAACTCTCAAAGGTAACTGTACTCGTGATTAGGATAAACAGATCATAATTGCTGGTCCAACAGTGCCAGTCCTGTGTTCTCTTACTCCCTGATGTACTCACCGACTGACTCACTCACTGACTCAAGGAGGTCGGATGTGAAACAGTTCCATGAACTTATTACTTCTTTTGGCCTTATTCAACATGTCCAAGTTCCCACCCACGAGAAAGGACATACACTGGATTTAGTAATAACTCGTTCAACAAATAACTGCGTCTTGGATTTCGAATTTGAAAATACCCTACCGTCAGATCACAGCACGATTCATTTCACATCGGACACGATAAGACCTAGAGTTTCTCAAGTGAAGCGGGTCAGTCGGAAAACATCATCGGTTTCTGCTGAGTCATTAATAGAATGTCTTAGTACTAACCCAGTTCCCATTACTGACGCTGATTCTGTCGACCAATTGGTCCAAAACTACAACTCTACAATGAGACGTGTTATTGATCGTCTTGCTCCCGAAACCACCAAGTTCTTTGTGGTCAAACCCAGAGCGCCGTGGTTCTGTGATGCGATCCGTCAGAGCAGACAAGAAACTCGTCGACTGGAAAGGAACTGGATAGCTAATCCTCTGCAGGTAAACATGCAGATTTTTAAAGCCAAGCGGTTAGGACACAATCGTCTTGTAAAACAAATAAAGGAGTTGTATTACCGGCATAAAATCCAGAACTGCGACCAGAGAAAACTATTTTCTGTAATAGATGACATGATTGGCAACAAAGCAGCCGCAGCAAAGAATTTGCCTCAACACGACAATGATCAAAAATTAGCCGAACAGTTTCTAGACTTTTTTAATAGCAAAATAAATCGTCTTCGAGGGCAACTGATGCATGTTCCTGGTGATATTCCATGTGTATCTACTGAACATGGTCACTCATTCATGCATTTTAGTACAATTAACGAAAAGGTTCTGATCAAATTCATGAAATCAATGAACTCTAAATCGTGTGTTTTGGATCCGATCCCGACTCACTTTTTGAAAGCTGGTCTTCCTTATGTTTCTACGCATTTATTATCGATTGTGAACAAATCTTTTGTTTCGGGCGTTTTTCCATCAGAATTAAAAACGGCTATCATAAGACCTCTGTTTAAAAAGTCTGGATTGGATCCAAATGAATTGTGTAATTACAGGCCTGTGTCACATGTTCCTTTTGTTGGTAAATTAATCGAGAAAATAGCTGCTCACCAGCTTCATGCATATTTGGTCCGATTCTCATTGTTATCCAAATTTCAGTCAGCTTATCGGCAGTATCACAGTACTGAGTCAGCACTGTTGAAAGTTCAAAATGATATTTTGATTTCACTTGACAATCGGAAAGAGGTTATTTTAGTTATGCTTGACTTGACTGCCGCTTTCGATACCATTGATCAGTCCATTTTACTTCATAGATTGAAAAACAGGTATGGGATTACAGATTTAGCGCTCCAGTGGTTCACTTCCTATTTAGTGGGTCGTACCCAAAGGATTTGCATTGGGTCAGCAAAGTCAGAAATGAATCCTTTGCTTTTTGGTGTGCCACAGGGAAGTGTACTTGGGCCAATTTTGTTCACATTATACCTTGCACCGTTAGACGATATTTTCAAGAAACATGACATCAATTTTATGTTGTATGCTGATGACACCCAGCTGTACGTATCCTGTAAGAATGGTAATAATTCAAAGACTCATCTTGAAGCATGTGTTAAGGAAATTAGACAATGGATGTTTTTGAACAAGCTTAGTTTCAATGATTCGAAGACTGAGGTGATTCATTTTCATTCCTCGTTTCGTAAATGTGACCTTTTGTCAGGTTTGCACGTTGGAAATAATGATATTACTCCTAGCACAGTCATTAGGAATCTCGGTGTGTATTTTGATAATCACTGTAATATGGCTACTCATGTCTCTAAAATGTGCCAATCAGGATATTTTGCTTTGCACCGCATTAGTAAAATTCGCAATGTTTTAGATCACACCACTACTGAACGACTTATTCATGCCTTCATTACGTCACGACTGGATTATTGCAATAGCCTGCTGTATGGCCTTCCTGACTATTTAATCCATAGGCTACAATTAGTTCAAAACTCAGCCGCTCGTCTTATTACCAATACTAAGAAATATCAGCACATTACCCCTGTTCTCCAAAGTCTTCACTGGATTCCAGTGGCACAGCGTATTGAGTTCAAGATCCTTATCTTGGTTTATAAAATCTTACATAAACACGCACCTGGTTATTTGTTGGATTTGTTGACAGTTCGGGAAAGTTCTATAGCCACTCGCTCCTCCAATGAAACACGCTTAGTCCAGCCCCGTTTCAATCAAAATCATTATGGCATGCGTGCCTTTTCAGTAGCAGCACCCAGTATATGGAATAAGCTTCCTTATTTTATTCGGAACGCACCTTCTTTTTTATCTTTTAAGTCAGCACTAAAAACGTATTACTTCCGTCAGGTTTTTAAATAACATTCATGATGATTGACTGATTGTGGTTTTAATGTATTTTTAATGAGTTTTACTTGGTATTTAAATCAATAGATTGGTGATGTATTAATATTTTTAATGATCCTTTTTAGTGTATATAATGACATTTGTTTTATTACTTTGTAAAGCGCATTGAGATTGTGTCAATGATGTAATGCGCTATATAAGAATTAATTATTATTATATTATTATTATTACTCACTGAATGTTACATAATGATCCCATCAGAGATGGACCAAGTCACCCTGCATCGACGATGAAGGGGCTATAAACAGATGCATGAAGAGGCTTCAAGGAATAGCCATGTTGAAACAATAGCATAAAACTGTGCGCGTTATGCAACCACAGACTGAGTGAATGACTTACCGAAGTTCAGATAATGTCCTAAATCAAGGCTTTAGGTTCCAGCATGGCAAACCTTGTGTTGTTCATCAATCAAGTATTGACAATTTGACTTCCTTTTTTTGCAGTTTACTGTATTTATCATTGGTCTTTAAATATCTACAGTCCTTCCCATCATACTGTAACACAAATCATACCGTCCTGAAATGTTAGGACTAGTATTTTTGTTTTAAATACAGACAGCACCTCTGATGCTGCTACGGACTTCAAGGTGGAGTTGCAGACAATGGTGGGCATCAAACCACACCCTAATATTGTACGTCTCCTTGGCGCATGTTTTCATGAAGGTAAACTAATCATGATTTCTATACCAAAAAAAAACTACCCAATGTTTACCTTTTGTAACTACTTTCTGCTAGTCAAGACTGGGCGTTTGGCAAGGTCAGAATTGAACCAGATACTGGAATTAAACATCTCCAACATTAATCTTATCAACGGAAATATGACCATTTAAAGTTCCAACTACATAGTTTATTTTGATTACTGACAACTAATTATTACTCTATATCTGTTACTCTATAACTTCCAGGCAGCTTAAACTTTAAGAACACACACAATCAAACATTTGAACTGCTTGAAACCAGACAAGAGGCCATACTTTCAGGTAGAAGCGTAAGTTAATTAGCTGACCGGACTTTTATCAATCTCAATTTAGGTTACCCTACGTAGAATCACATCATGAAGCAAGGCAAATTCAAAACGGAAACCATTGTTTTATAAATTATTGCAATTTAAGTTGTTTGAGAAACGACAACTAATCCTAGGTATTATAGCTTCGATAGAGCTTAAACGCTAATAACAACTGTTAAGAAATAGACACGTGGACATACTTTTAGGTAAAAGGGCAAAGTGAATTGGCCAACCGGACTTTTGTCAATCTCAATTTTAATAACCTTACGGAGTATCACATCATGAAGCGAGGCTATTTCAAAAGAAAAACCCTTGTAAATATTTTTCTTATCAAAGGCATTCTGTATGTGGCACTGGAGTTTCTTCCCAACGGCAATCTTCGTGATTATCTGAGGAGCATTCGCCCGATGCAGAAAGGAGCTGGCCACTCCACTGACGGAGCATCTCCGGTGACTTCTTCAAACTTGTTGAAATTTGGCACAGACGTTGCCAAGGGAATGGATCATCTGTCCAAGACAGGGGTAGAGTGTATATTCCTTCATTTTAAATTATTCAAACTTGTGTGTGTGTTAGTTTGAGTACCACAGCTCTGTCGTGACTCTGATCACTTTCAGCATCTTCATATGCCATTCTATCTCTACGAAATTCCTAAGGAAAATACCCTTTTCCATAGGCTAGTGTAGTGACAGGTGTATGTTTGCTTGAGGCTTGCAGTAAATGTTCTGGATGTCACGTAATTGTTGATAATTGCAAGTGGTCGATTGAAATACTTGTCCTTTTTATAGATTATCCACCGTGACTTGGCTGCAAGGAACATCCTCCTTGCTGAAGACCTAACCGCCAAAGTGTCTGATTTCGGCCTATCCAGAGGGGAGAACATCTACGTTCAGAAATCCTCGGTAATGTGCAAAATGTAGAATCATCTTTAAGGTGTTAAGTTAAATGATAATGACCATTCAATACGAGAGAAATAACTTACTTGCTTTTGGTGAACATCGTAACAAACCATCTAAAGAATTATAAAAAAAATCATATCGGTGTTGTTTGGTGTCAATCAAGTACCCAAGAAAGACGATACCAATCATACATTTCGGGTGAAATTCTTTCAGTTTATATGGCACCTCATTTCATAAACTGAGTTAAAATATATGTTCTTTTGAATGCAGACCAGGATTCCTGTTCGCTGGTTGGCCATCGAATCTTTGACGCGACGTGTCTACAAGTCCAAGAGTGATGTGTAAGCAAAAGCAACATACTTTCGTCACAGAATTTGATTATCACGCAGTTATTTTAGCACACACAAATAAGCTACAAGCATTGTGTTCATTTGTCGAAAATAAGTCAAGCAAAAAGGAGTTTCTGTCTTATTGCTATTAAAGGTACAGTCCATCATTTGTAATGTGTGCATTTTGTTCGTTTGCTTTTAATGCAACATAATTTTGCCACAGAATTTGATTCTCACACCGTTACTTACTTTTGAAACATAGTATTTAATAAAAGTTGAATATATATGTATGTGCTTTGCCGTGCACAAATATAGGCTACAAGACTTTTGTTCATTTGTCTTAAAAAAAATACCAAGCAAAAACCATATGAACTCTATATAATTATACCTCTGCCAGGGAGGTTATGTTTTCATCGGATATGGCTTGTTTGTTGGTTGGTCAGTTTGTTGGTGTGTCTGTTAACAAGATAACTCAAAAGTATGAGCGGATTTGCCTGAAACGATGTTCAAGGGGGACCCTGAATACAAGTACAAATCGATTAGATTTGGCCTTTGCGGAAGTTTGCGCTCTCTGAGTGATTTCTAGTTGAATATGAGTTTAAATCAATGATTATCATCGTTTACCTCAGTTTTCTATCCTAGGTAAACAATTCTATCGTTCTGTTAAATTATTCCTATTTTCATATTTGCGAATCATCTGTTCGTCCTCTGTTAATCTTGTAGGTGGTCGTTTGGCATCTTGCTGTGGGAGATAGCAACATATGGTAAGTTATGCATGTAAGCTGGGATAACTCTGTACTGTCGTAGGATTGTTGCTAATGCTAACACTCATGGTACTTATTAATCCAATTTACAACTATTAGTGGATCATTGCTTTTAGGATCCACTCCGTACCCTGGTATTGAAAGCAAGTCACTGGCTGAGAGATTGCTGGATGGATACCGCATGCCCAAGCCGGACAACTGCGCCGATGAAATGTAAAGAAAAACACTACTCTCCTTTAGCAGTATGAATACAGATTTCGATTTCAATTCACCAATATTCACTGAACTATTCGAATATAAACCTTGCAATAACTATTGTTCTGATAATGATAAGTAAGAATTAATTGTAAAAAAGGACAGCAATTTCAAGTGAACAGACGATTTTCAGTAGTTTTCTGTGGGCGGCGAATTCACAGAAATAAGACGTTCAGACCTACTTGAATAACTGTGACAGGTGTTGATTTAGACTCTCACTGGGACTCTCATTTTACTTTTCTTTGTATTTGTATTGATTCAGTTATAATCTGATGTTGAAGTGCTGGCATGAGGTGCCAAGTAAGCGTCCAACCTTCAAAGTACTCTACCAAGCTCTCGAGAAAATGAACTCCAAATCGTATGAAAATGTAAGCGCGATGCCGAGTTTCAAGAACACTTTCAGGTTACAGATCTGATAAATATTAGATACATTGGATATCTTCTTTTACCATAATGTATGATAGATGCAAATGACAATATAAATGTATTTGTTTTGGCTATTCTCTCAGTACATTAAAGCAAACCATATTTTCTTTGATAAACAGATTATGTTTCGTTCAATGTTTTGAACAGTTCAGCAATGCAATATCTTTTGATTTTTGTAGGTTGTCTTGTCACCGACTGTCTACGAGAATTTCATCATCAAGCATGAATTTGATGACAACTAGATGACGTCATTATCGTTACGCTGTAATGCATCATCTTCGAAATTACTCAAGCAAGTGGTTCAGCGTTTTCCCGATTGTTTTCAGTGTCGGGTTTAAGTGTTGGCATTAACGCAGACTTTTATTTGATAACAATGTCAAGTAGAATATTTAAATCATATTATGTCCTTGTACATAGTGGATCTTATTTAGCCTCATATATTTGGAACAAGACTTACTAAACATTTTTACATTATTATCAAATTTACAACTCGTTTACAGTTTAAGAGTAAGCATTTACATTATGTTAAAAATCGTAGTAGGCTGGTTAGCGTGTTGTTTTAAATCTCAAAAGCTTTCGCAGAAGATCATGTTTTAAAATGTAATATTGTATAGCGAGGACGTACCGATGTATTGTGTATAGTACACTCCTAAAGCATTGTCAATAAATCAACTGTTGTACTGTATAGCGAGGACTTGCCGTGAAATACCGATGTACTTTGTGTAGTTTACTCCTAAAGCATTGTAATTAAATCAACTGTTGTGTTGAACAGCGAGGACTTGCCGTGAAATACCGATGTACTGTGTGTAGTTGACGCCTAAAGCATTGTCATTAAATCAACTGTTGTATTGTATAGCGAGGACTCATCATGAAATACCGATGTACTGTGTGTAGTTCACTCCTAAAGCACTGTCATTAAGTCAATTGTTGTATTATATAGCGAGGACTTGCCATGAAATACCAATGTACTGTGTGTAGTTGACCCATAAAGCAGGGATATTTTGTATTGTATTATATACTGGGATTAACAATATTAAGGATCAATTGTGTTTGTACAAACGAATCTGTTATTTTCAGTCACTCATACAAATGGTTTGTAAATTAAAAGTATCTTCCCGTGTAGCTGTCAGTACTGTCCAAAAAAAACAAATATGCTTAATAGGATTAGTGGCATGCTTGTATGCGTATTACGCTTTATTGTCAAATGATGTTATCAACATTACTTACTCAGATTCACATCTTTAAAAAAAAAAAAAAAAACATGATACATCAACATGATAGTGTATCTTTTCTATCACTGATATTTAGCCGATAAAAAGTTCTAGGAATATATTTTTTTCAAAGGTTATTTCGTTAATTCTGTCAGAGAGATTAGGAAGGATATTACAGCTTATTTTCAAAATAGGAACTTACGACAGCTGTTTAAATGTAATCTCAACATTCTCAATCTTCAGTATCAAATATGTGTATTTCAAGGGGCCAGCGTTTTTATAAGAATCATATTTTTTTCAGATTTGTTAGTCTTTGTTATGAGATGACAACATGTCGTTATGTTGATTATGTTGAAATCCTTTGAATTGTTCTATATTCGACGCCTTTTTTTCCGAAAAACAATGATTGACAAGAAAAAAGTGGAAAATAGCCCCTTACGTTCAGTGACAGTGTGAGATCAATTTGCGTACACGGCTCCATTATTTGTAGTTGATAACAAATTTTAAAAAAATCTGAATGCCAACAGTTTTGCTTCCGTACATTTCACAACCATACATTTTATACTGTGAATAAATCGCACACCATTCGTTGATTAATGGGAATGGCATAACGCAAGAATAATGGGTTTAGGGAAGGAATGAAATTCTCCAATCACAAATTCATTTCATCGGTCATTAAGTTTGATATATTTTTGTCAACGGTTCCAGTATGTGCAAACTGTGTTCTTGTTGGAAGTAACGTCGCCCTCTATCGCAAAGTTGTAGGCCTGCGTATCCAATAAATAGCGCCCTCTTAATTTTCATGAAAGCTACGGGCGGTTATTTTGGACCCGTGTTAGAGTGGTGACTTCTTTTAGGGGAAATCGGGGATTATATTTTTGGTGACTTCATCTGTATGCGTTCTTATTGGGTAGATTTTGTTTTACCGACGCAAGGGTCATACACCCAGTGGCGTCGCCAAGGGGGGGGGGGGGGGGGGGGGGGGGGGGGGCGCAGGGGGGCACGTGCCCCCCCCCACCCTGGAAAACCTAGTGCCCCCCCCTCCAAGTGCCCCCCCCCCCAACAAATGCTGGTGCCCCCCCCTATCCTCTGCAAAATTCTGCGCGTTGTTAAAATCATTACCTCAAAAATAGTAATTTCTGGAGATATCTTCAGATCGAAATTTAGCATCAAATGTGGCACCATTTTGCATCTAGCCCATCCTCCGTATGCGAAAATTTTCAAAAGGGGAGGGGGTACCCCCTCCCCTTAGACCCTTAGACCCCTCCCCCAGGCACCCCTCCCCTTAGACCCCTGCCCCAAGACGGCGATCCGTATCCACCTAAGTGCCCCCCCCCATCATATGCTGGTGCCCCCCCTGTGCCCCCCCCCCCCCAGACTGAAAAGTCTGGTGACGCCACTGCATACACCATGCGCAAACTACTTGCGTATACGAAAATGTACGGGCACCCAGGCGCGGATCCGGGGGGGGGGTTGAAAGTAAAAAAAAAAAAAACAGCTCTCACACCTTTCTGTAATCTAGGTTCAATAATCGTCAAATTTGAACAGCGCCCCCCCCCCCCCCACCATTTTTTTTTATTTTACGGAGGCCAAGTACGTGTCCGGAGAAAACAAACCTGTGTGCATTTTCAGATTTTTTGGCTGATGAAAACCCCCCAACGAAAATTCCTGGATCCGTCGGTGCCACCGACCGTGGAAACGGCACTGCGAAGTATACTTTTCCTTTAAAATATTTTGTGAAAACAGGGAGCGATTATCAGCAGTGGGTGCACCGAATATAGCCTATAGCTTGTGAGAGCTGGTTTGAACTTGTCATGTGAGGGCGCACAAATTGAGACTTTGCTCGTCCCAACAGCTCTCTATCAATGACCTTTACTTTCTTTTGAAGTCTAATAAGATACTTTTTGGGCGGCACGTGAACAATGGTCGGCACAGACAATGTGCACACGCGACCTGAATGCACGAAAAAGAGGCCTTTGCTAGGGCAATGGCTTCGGAACCCAACGGCACCCCTGTGTAAGCTCACCGCTTGAACCAAGACTACCATTCGAGCTACATCACGACCAGGAAACAAATCTGTAAAAACAAATCTGGATATTTCAACATGTAGCCTACGTGCCGAAAAAAATGACGTGTCCCGCTCCAGAAGTATAGACTGAAAACGTCTATGATGACCCTGAGACTTTTGCGTGCCGAGTGTGGGACTGAAAGGGGAATTCCCCGGCATTGTGACTGCTCTGTATAAGAACGGGTTGGGACAATAGACTGGAATTAAGTGACGTGTGCTTTAGGCCCCCAAAAAAAGTCTTCGGTTTCTGGTATGGAGCTTGCCCAAAAAGTGGTGCGGCGACGCGGCTTTTTTTTCTGTTTTATTTGCTTCAAATGTCGGCTGATGACTGAAATGGTGCCCGACTAAACTAAGTGCAAATATTATGGGAGACCAGAGAGGCCACATAAAGCTTATTCTCGATCATAACCCCATCTAAAAACACGTTAAAATTGTGCAGAAGCAGGATTCCAGTCAAACCAGTGAGTTTGGCGGTTTTGAAACATCATTTTTCATTGAAAAAAAAACTTTCATTTTGCCGACGCGCATGGCTACGGCGACGCGCGCGCATACCAGAAACCAGATACTTTTTTGTTTGGCCGTATAAAGTGTACAGCCTCTAACCAATGATACTAACCACACGCAAGTCCTGCATCTGGAAGGAAATATATTCGACCTGATTTTTGTGTCAACATTTCTCCATGATAACTGAATGCAGCAAATTTCATGCACAAGTTAAATCTCACTGTTCGTAAATTCAAGCAAACCCGTTCTTACAAGGACAACACACAACTCAAGCAGAAATATCCATCTTCACCGAGCACAGACTTTTCATGCACGTCCTGATCAAGTTTTGCAGAAATGTGGATGTTCAGCAGATGATACAGCAGTTTTAAATTTATTATGATTTCCGAACCCCCCCCCCCCCCCGAACACCAACCCACCCACACACGCACACTCACATATTCCTCGAGGTAATTCTTGTCTTTTAATTTAAAAATTCTTAAACAACTGTCCATCTTTCTGTTTAGATTTTAAAAGCTAGAATTTTAGTAAAACCCATAATAATTTTCTTTCCCCATTGGCTCACTTTCGATCAAGAATTGATCGGACATTCGTTTTTAAAAAGCTGTCTAATTATTCAGTTTGTCTTTTTTTCCTGGTATATATCATTAATTCCTATGAAAAGTTCAATTCAGAGTTCTATAATTATTGTTAATGTTCATGTTCCTTAAGGAAATAAAAGTCAGATAGTATGAAGATTATTTATATTATACGCGACTATCAATTATTCAACGAGGAAGCGAATTCTTGGCCAGTGTGTGGTTTGGCATACAGCCCCGCTTGATATGGTTGACTGAAAAATGAACTCATTTCATATTCACGGCTTCCTTTCTACTTTTCAGACAGCATTCACGTCTACATGAATTGTTGTTCTCCCACAAGTTCAATCTACACGTGACCTTTACACGCTTCACTTATTCACGGCTGCGCATGTATTTCGTCTGTGACGTTTGTGAAGGAAACCAGTTTACTCTCTATTCTGCGCGGAACATGGCGATTTTCGTGTTTCGACTTGTGATCCAAAAGTTACCCATTTAGTATAAAAACGAAATATTGTTGCTGTACAAATGACACCATGGGTTCATCGGCAAAATGTCTTCTGCTAGTCCCAATGTTTTTGTGGGCTTGTACCATGCTGCACACAGGTAAATATACACCTACATTTACAACCCGGAAATGATATAAATAAATGTGTCTTGATGTATATCGCACCAATCTATATAGTATGTGGAAATCGCGACTTTAATTGAATTTGGTAAAAGAAAGTTCTTTGCCAACTTAGGCAAAATATAACTACAACCGATATCACATTCCTCACAATTGTTTGGCTTAATTATTTGAAACAATCTGTCGAATCATAGGTATGACAAAATAAATTTACTTAAAAAAACATCCCTGCTTTTCCCATCGTGAATCAAATCATTAAAATAAAAACAGGGTTGCACTCTTGGTTTTTTTTTTAATCATGTTATACTCGCTTCGACATACAAGAACGGAGGTTTAATAAATTGAACATTGAACACTGAAAAGTATGCTGTATCTTCACATTTGTTTCCCCCTGTTTTAGTTGAACAGTTTTGATAGTAAAACAGTGCTATTTCTGTTTTTACTTATTGTAAACATGCGGTGGAAAGTGTTAAGGAAACGGTTGGACTTTTGAAACGTGATTTCCCATCCGGCCTTTCACTATATGTGGGTTTTGCCAAACTCTCATGTTCCGGAATCATAGAACTAATGAAGTGACGATGAATACTCTTTTCATCTCTGTGTTAAATACAATGTCCGTGTTTTTTTATTGTTTGATGATAGGTTTATCCGTTGATCTGGATCTGCGAGGCAAGACGGCCACACAGAGTAGCGACTACTATGATACTGATCTCGGTATACCTCTAACTGCAGACAGAGCATTAGACGGAGATACCGCAACATTTTCACACACTCGTATGGATTTTCCAAATTTTAAAAAAATATACACGAATATATCAGGCCCGTACATCAAACCCTTGAAGGCAACGATTTGAAATCGTTCCACATAATTTAAATATTTTGAATTGATCGAAGCAGGATTTATTGCGATTCCGATCCACTGAAATAATTCAACTATTTTTAAGACGACGTAGTAGATTGAACATGTATATCATGAGAAGGTGTCTTAGGTATAGTATTAATAATTCCTTCATTATAGGCCTTCTTATGTTTTACTGTAGAAAAATTGAACATTATGGTAGACGGTAATTTTAAACTCGAGCCAATAACCTGGTCTGAAATAAGACGCGTTGGAATTGCATAAATAGCGAGACATCAGGGGCGGATCCAGGAATTTTCGCAGGGGGGGGGGTCTTCGGCAAACAAAAATCCGAAATGTAGACAGGCTTTTCTCCGGACACTTGGCCTCCGAAAATCAATAGGTGGGGGAGGAGGATGGGGGGGGGCGCTTGTGCCATATTTTCAATGGGGGCGCTGTTCAAATCCGACGATTATTAACATTATATCCCAGAATAGTGTACATAAACCCCCTAACCAAGCTGGCTCTGTCCGTATTTTGTGCAAAGGCGGACATTATTACCAGAATGAAATGTTGGGTGTCAGAGAGGGGGGGGTAGCATTTTTTTTTCATAAATTTCTAGTGATATTTCTTTTGTTGACAGAGCTATTTTTTTACGTCCAACCCCCCCCCCCGATCCGCGCCTGGACATGAGAAGAACATGTGAAGTTCAACCTTGTGCACATACCTGACAATATGTGCACAAGTCAATCGTTTCATTCGTCTCATGCAAATCTGTCTAAATGTTGAAATCGTTTCAAATAATCGCAACTGATATTCCGCCTAGCCTGTATCCACATTTATGCATGCTAAACCATAAATTTGATGACTTATCCATATTCACATAAAAGATGCAACTAATTTTGAGGAAGCGTTGCTGCATTACTATCTTTGTTTATGAATTCAATTTTCGCCAGTGTGCACGGGAAACCAATGGTGGAGAGTTGACCTGGGGGATACGTACTGCTTCACAAGAATCACTATAGTCAACAGAAATGAACTCGGTAAGTCTATTAATGCGTGTGCAGTAGCAAGCAAAAGAAAAGATTAGAGAATATTCTCTTGGTACGGCATTCATTTTAAGATCAGTTCTGTATTTTGAGGAAAGCTGTTTCATAACGTTACCGCAATTTCCTGTTTGTCACAATTTATTCTTGTATACATATGGTGATATCGGGAAAAAATAATTTGACTGCATTCGTTAGTTTATTACCTTAAACTAGAGTAAAGAAATTTGAACAGCCGAATCTTCAAAGTATGGAGTCCTCCAGTAGTCTAGAATTAAGATTTGACTTACACATTATTCGTGTTCTTCAGTCAGATAGGCATTTCTTCTCTATCACATCAACGCAACAAAATCTTAATTGTTGGCTATTCATTGAAGGGAAAATAATTAAAGCTACAGCGGTAATTTTGCAGTGCTAAGTACTGACTGCATTCAGCAGCCATTCTCGACATGTGTTTTTATGTTAATTCATTGAATGAACAAGAGGTCATACTAACCACAACACAGACCTCAAAGATAACTGTAGTTAAAACATTTTATAAATATGCAAAGGTATTTTGAAATCAAATATTTCCAAGTAAAAAAAAATTCAGAAACGCAGTGTATGAAAAGAAATAATGGAATACACTTTTACAACGGTTTGTTATTATAGGTCTAAACATTCAATCACAGTTAGGGAGAGAAACGCCATTTGCTTTAATGCATCGGTGAAAGTTTGAGTCGGATTCATTATCAGATATGCATGTACCAAAAACGAAGCCTCCGCCAGCCGGGTGACGTTTTGCAGCTGCTTATAATTGAAATTTAACTTTCAGGAAAACAATTATTAATATTAAATTAAGTTAACGTTGTAAATGTAATGCTTCATAAACAGCCCCGATTACCATTCTAACAAGAGATGGTGTTATGCAAGAGTTAGTATACCGATGATATTTCATTGCAGGTGGGCGACTGAACGGTGCTGTAGTGCGGGCTGGTTTGGATCCATCAGATTTCTCACAGAACACACGGATAGGAACAGTCACAAGTACCCAGGCAACCAACGGAGCAACGATTCCTTTTACATCGAATCCGGCCATCTCTGCTCGATACGTTAGTGTGGAATTGTCAGGGACTTGCCTTCAACTGGCTGAAGTCAGGATTAGCACAGACGACATCATTACAAGCAGTAAGAGAAAAACTTTTTGATGACGAATAAATAATCTTAGCATCATGATGACCGACAATACAACATTTCCATCTCCGCCACGCTGGTGATATAACAAACAGTCTCGGCCACATTTTCACTGATAAACCTAACGGTCACAAAAAGAAAACAAAATATCGGTTTGAAAAATGGTTGATAGGAGGCAAATTCCATGCAGAGTGGTAGTCTTATACAGGATTTTCATTGGTTGCGTTTCCATCGAGATTCTAATCGGGAGCTAATGAATAGAATCAGCAAAGATTGCTCACCTAAAATATGAGACGACTTAATGGGCGTGCCTGCTTTAACCACTAGCTTTAAACCTATCTACTTACAATGTAACATTTCCTGGTCACTGATTTTCACAAGTACTTTTATGTACTCGTATAAAGTAATCACGTGCATTTTTGGCCTTAGAAGATGCAAACAACTGTGGCTCTAATAGTTTGAAAGTCAGCTACCTAATATCTGTTCTTTCCATAGTAGTGAGGTACCTTAGTGACAAAAATGCCAAGGATCGTGACACGGTGGACAAAAGCACCATTTTTTTACCAAAGCATCTCCATGGTATACCTTATCGAAAAAAAGACGGACGCAAAAAATTGGATGATGGGAAGGGCATGTATGACGTCATTATGACGTCATCAGCTAATTATTACATGAAATATATATAAATTGATAATATCTTCTGAACTACAACCATCACAACAACAAAAGTCGCATCAAATAAAAGGGAACAACAAGATCTTTCATTTGAGTGGTATGTCAGGGGTGTGGAATGTAGTAAAGGGTGGTTTTGGGGGCCAAAAAGCACTTTTTTGGTAAAAAAAACCCTGATTTTTGGCTAAATTCATGTATTTTTGTTTGGCACCTTGTTTAACATGCAAACCGTATGTGTTATTGTGAGATTTTGTTTTGAAGTCAGAGGAAAAGGTTCAAATTCTATGCCAAAAGAGTTTTTGCAATTGATTATTATTTTTTTGTAATTGATTATTAGTATCTTAAATGCGTACACTTGAAAAACATATAAATTGATAATATCCTCAGAACGATAAGTATTACAACAACAAATGTGGTATCAAATTAAAGGGAACAACAAGATCTTTCATTTGAGTGGTATGTCAGTGGGATGGAATGTAGTACAGGGTGGGTTTTTTGCCCAAAAGTACCCTTTTTGGTAAAACAAAAACAAAATTGGTGCTTAAATCATGGATTTGGGGTAATCATTTTGGCACCTTGTTTTAACATGCAAACCGTAAGTGGTATTGTGAGTTTTGGTTCTTAAGTCAGAGAGAATGGTTCAAATACTATGCCAAAAGAGTTTTCGTAATTGATTATTGGTATCTTAAATGTTTAAACTTATTCCAAAGATAGGTGGACAAAAAAATGTAACATAAGTTACAGTCGGGTGCCCATTCCAGTGGATCTCAGTTACAGATTCATCACATGTCTCGTTGTCGAGCTTGGAGGGGTTGGGCAATCTGCCGGGTGCATCTGCGATCACCATCATAGCACCAGGTTTGTAGACATCGTCGAAGTTGTATCCTTGTAGCTTAAGACGCTGCAAGCGGTGTGGTGTTCTGGCTAGGATTTTGCGCCAGATCGTAACCAATGGTTTTAATGGTCAGTGACAACAATGAAGTTGGAGCCGAATGAAGTTGCAGCAGTGCCACAGCTTCCCTCTCGATATTCGAGAATTTGCTCTGGGAAGAGGATCTATAGGCTCTTCGAGGAAAATGCGATGGGTTTACCTTCCTGGGTGTTGCCCAATCCTCTTTCAGATGCATCTACTTTGAGGATTGTTTCTATACCTGTGTGTCGGAGAATCGTAGCCAGGACTGAGTTCAGATGGAGTGTTTAAGGGTTGTAAAAGAAGCTTGATGGTCCTCTTCCCAGAGAAATGGTACATCTTTTCGAAGAAGATCGCTGAAGGGAGCAACTTTGTCTGCGCAATTTGGGGTGTAGTGTGAGACATTGTTGACTATGCTAAGGAACCAGCAGTTTCCATCAGGGCGATGAGACATTCGGCCGCTCGTCATGCTCTTCAAGGGAGACCGAACACTGCAATGTCGTCCCGGTGATTGTTCCAATGCATCAAGGCATCTAGCTTATTTTGCCATCAATATTTTTTGGGACCATTATCTTGGCTTACTGATAAGCCGATGAATGGGCGACGAAAGCTGTTAACAACCAAATTGTATGTTGTTAGTTTTTTAGACTGCCCTAGGTGAGCAGACCAATACTCTGCTTTTGACGTCTAGCTTGGAGGAGAACCTTTCCAGTGCAAATTCTGGCTTGAGCTCCTCAAGAGTGGGGATCTTTAGAAAACATTATGTGCTTAGCTGCTTGGGATCCGGACACATCCTGAACGGGCCGTCTTTTTGGCAGTTGCTGTGATAGAGCTGCACCCGTCCGTGTGATGGGAGACTTTTCGTATGACCCAGCCTTTCTCAGTCTTTTTCAGCTTGGTCTGCGGTTTTGGTTTGGCATGAAAGCTGCACCTATGTGGCGGATTTATGTGGGACTGAGTATCTGGCTTGAAGTGTAGGAGAGCGCGTATCTAAGTCGTCGAAAGTATCAAACTGCTTTGGGAGCCGGTCCTTCAGGTCTTGTGTGTCTCTCACCGGAGTGGTAGTGGTCAGCCCTTTGGTTCCTGTGGGGGCCTGAGGCTTTGGGGGCAGTGTGCCAGTGTAGGTTTTGACCAAGTGTAGGGTGCGGCTCGTAGGGTACGTGCGGCTCGTATAGTAGGGAGCCCATTGATAGCTGGTCCTGGCACAATGACCACTTGGAACTTCTCACGTTGCCAGTCATTCTGCTGGTATACCCATAAGGTGTATCGAACCATGGCACATGATTCCGGAAACATTATATGCCTTCCTTGGGAGGGTTGGTTTCTCCAATTGTCTCCGTATTTGTGACGCATCAACGAACTGGTAAGGTATTTGCTCTCGAGTTTGTGTTAACCTAGTTGCAGACATGTTGCTAGAGATGATCCGGACAGATCACATCCAGTGTTCGGCGGTGTTCAGCTGTTGTGCACATCATATGTCCGATGCTGATAAGGTAATGGAGTTGAATGTTTTGATGACTTGGAGACATCAAATCTTCTGCAGTAGCCTGAAGAGGCCTTTTCTACTGACGAAGGTCGAAGGCCTTCATCGGCAAGGCCGGTGGTCAGTACATCGGTCGTCGCTGCTCTCGGCACTTCTCCTGGAGCTGCCGTAAGTCGAAGACAATGGAGAAGATAATGTCGATCTTTAATCTTTCAGCTCTGAAACCGCACTGCCTCTCAGGGTATATGCACTCAGCTCGCAGCTGCGATCTGTTCGACACTACAAGGGCGAAGGCCTTCTTAACGATATCGAGGAGGGAGATTCCTCGTGTTGCACAGATCTGGGATTGACGTCCTGGCGATGTCAAGGGCGGATCCAGAACACAATTTTGGGGGGGCCAAAAAAAAAATTTGGTTCCCCCAAAAAGTGGGTCAAAAAAATTACGGCGTGGGGTTCGGGGCCCGTAAGGGCCCCGAAAATTTTTTGGATTCTAGATGCTCTGTGGTGCGATCTGAGGCAATTTCTGACCACTTTAACCAATGTTTTTTGAGGAAAAGATGGTGGTGTACTCATTGCCTGCCTTTATTGCGATGTCACATAAAAAAAAAAAAAAATTGGTTTCGTTTTTGGGGGAGCCATGGCCCCCTTTGGCCCCCCCCCCCCCCCTGGATCCGCCCTTGCGATGTTTGAAGTATGGGCGTCTTTTTTGCCTTGAGCGGTGGATCTGTTTATTTGGGAGTGGTCTGTATTACAGTCAGCGCTGCGTGTGATGAGAACGCAGTTTCGTGAGGGTCTTCCTGTGATGATGAGATGAAGCTGAAGCCAGTGACGGGATCTGAGGTGCTTCTGCAGCCTCTGCCCGTTCTCAGTTAGCTTGCCAACGCCAACGTGAGTGATGCAGCTGGGCCAGGAGTTGTGGTCAGATCCCACTCGGGCGTTGAATTCGCCATGGAGGTACAGTTGTTCTACGACAGGGATACCTCTGATGGTGGTGTTGAGTTCCTCGTAGAACTGGTCCTTAGAGTTTTATTGGAAGATGATAATGTTGAGACGCTGTGCTATGCAATGGGGTACTTCAGTGGAGATAGGGCTGCTCATTTCTCCATTTCATCCCAGCACATCCTAACCGATTTGACCCCAAATGGATTAGGCTTACTCCTGACTTATTCTAATTGTTTATGTGCGATTCCACGACAACTTTACATTTTCAGGCACTTTGAGACGCAAAAAAGGAGTCTCACCACTAAATGCATTGGTTTCTAAAATCAATTTCAACATAATGAATACAAAGTGGTAAGCTTTTATTTGTGGGCTGTTGCACAACAGTTTAAGCTTTTTTACTTTCGATATATAAAAAGAACGTAGGCCTATGCATGATTTGTTGGAGGTCTTGATTCAAAAGTCTCCTCAAACTGGACATGCATTGATAAAAGTAATGCACACCATCTATTTGCTGGCAACTAAACTATGTATTAGGCCCAAAAAAAATGATAGTAAACTGTTCTGCTTCCGGTTTCCCTACCTACCCTATTCTGACAGGCCCTACCCTAATTTGTTTTATGGGAAAAATGAGAAAAAAAACCCCAAAACAATCAATTTCTCCCTTTCACCCTTGACTAAGCGCAGACGCCTCCATATATGATTGTACACAAACAAAAAAATCCTTACCTACCAACTCTGTTTTCAAATGCCATGTAATGGGAAGCAGAACTATTTTTTGGGCCTTATCAAGGTAAGACAGGAAATCTTAAGTCCCATTTTGGCCCATACCCTAAAATGGTGATAACTTTCCTTACGGTAACTGCAGTTTTTCCACCTATCTAAGGAACAAGTGTAAGCATTTAAGATACTAATAATCAATTATAAAAAATAATAATCAATTGCAAAAACTCTTTTGGCAAAGAATTTGAACCTTTTTGTCTGACTTAAAAACAAAATCTCACAATAACAAATACGATTTGCATGTTAAACAAGGTGCCAAACAAAAATACATGATTTAAGCCAAAAATCTGGGGTTTTTTTACCAAAAAGGTGCTTTTTGGCCCCAAAAACCACCCTTTACTACATTCCACGCTCCTGACATACCACTCAAATGAAAGATCTTGTTGTTCCCTTTTATTTGATGCGACTTTTGTTGTTGTGATGGTTGTAGTTCAGAAGAAATTATCAATTTATATATATTTCATGTAATAATTAGCTGATGACGTCATAATGACGTCATACATGCCCTTCCCATCATCCAATATTTTGCGTCCGTCTTTTTTTCGAAAAGGTATACCATGGAGATGCTTTGGTGAAAAAATGGTGCTTTTGTCCACTGTGTCACGATTTTTTCACTAAGGTACCTCACTATAGTAACGCCAACAAATGTCGATGCTACAAGTATGACAGTCAGCTGGTCTACAGTGCCCTGTGCTAATTATTACTACATGGAGTATGCCCTGACCAACAGGGATCATTGTGAAAGCATCGATCCTCCGACGTATATCACTCCCTGCAATATGTGTCAGGGAAACACGGCTACACTGTATGGCCTGCTACCATTTTCTCAGTACACTGTACAAATCAAGGCTTATGTAAATGGTGCATACGGACCAATACAAACAGGCATCTTCACAACCACATCATCAGGTAAAGTACACTTTACGTTACTCTTTAGCCCATTTCCTTTTTTAAATTGTACTGTAACTTAAGTACTATGAAACCAAATTGCTTTTAATTGCTAGAAATTGTTTTACCTCAGTACATCCAAATGCAATATTTTTACCTTCTGGTTCATTATTTTCTACTACAGCACCGACTGGACCACCCACTATTGTGACACCTGGGTCTCAAGCCCAACGCAGCCTAGCCTTCTCCTGGAGCCTCCCAGCATGTGGAAGCCGAGGTGGTGTCATCACAGGATACGACTATAGGCTAAGTACAAGTGGCGTTGCACCAATGACTGGCCAGACTACAGCTAGTCTGTCTGGTGGAGCAGTTACAATAGGTGGACTTACTCCCTATACTTCTTACAGTTTTCAAGTTGCTGCAAGGACTAATGATGGGACTGGACCGTACAGTGCGGTTGTAACATCAACAACACAAGAAGCAGGTAATATATGGTTTCTGTTGTTCTTCCTCAAACTCATTTCCCTATCTCCATCTTCTCCTTCTCAATTAGGTTTGATTCTAATTTTGATGCGGATGTCCTGCAGTTGTTTATGGATTCTATACACAAATAACCGCTCGAACAAAACAGACAAAAACGCCGGAAATAAAGGAAATTCATTTAAACCACTGAAGTTTTATTCCAAAACGCACTCATTATTGGTTGATTGTTTCGTATTGCACGGTACCGATATATTAAATCAGTTGCAAGAACAAATACAATATTTGTTTCGTGTTCAATTTCAACAGAGCCCACAGTTCCCCGCAATTTTCACGTGCAGTCGGCAGATGACATGTCTGTCAGTCTGGGTTGGAATCAACCAGATCCACCAAATGGACGCATCACGCACTACAATGTTCGCTACTGGAGGCGTGGAGACATGGGAACCACGCAGACTGACTCCGATGTGATGGGGATGATGCATCGTGTCACGGGACTTGCTGCCTTTGTAACATACACATTCCAGGTCTCTATTCACTTTATCAAATGGAATAAACTATATCATTATACGTCATGAATACAACGGACAGTTGTATTGATGATCTCAATTATTGCATGGCATAATCGATACATTGAAATTCACATAAAGTTATTTTACACTTAACTTTATTTTTCGAAGCTAATGAAGTATAACTGAT